GGTTGCCATGGCGAGGAACCTGCAGCTGCTCTGCCTCCCACTTCCCTGGGAGCCCCAAGGCCTGCGCACCTGTCTGGGCCAGACCCCCAGTGGGAGGGCAGAGCCCCTCTCCCCCAAATGAGCCCCTAACCTCTGGGGGAGGGGAGCCTGGGCCTGGCCCTGGCAGCAGGCAGGGAGGGGCTGTGGGGCCCCCCTCAAGCTCAAGCAGTGGGGGTCTGGCCTCTGCCCACCTCCGAGGTTTGTCGGCGAGCCTGCAGCACACTCACGAGGGCTTCAGGGGAGCTGCAGAGCTCGCGGCCCCCCACAGCCCCCACGCGCCCCCCCCCAGCCCCCACAAGACGAGCTTGGCAGCCACCAGGCTGCTGTCCCAGGTGGCCAGGGAGCCGGGCCTGGGGAGCGGGGAGATGCCATGACCGGGACCAGTTTCTATTTTGTTGCAGTATATCATCGCTCCTCTGAGGTCGTTACTGCTCTCATTTCATCTCAGGCCAGCTGGTTTCAGCCCTGTTTTGCAGATGGGGAAACTGAGGCTCATAAACTGTGTTTATCTGCTGGGTTGAACGGAGTCATGCCACTTTGCATTCCAACCCCGGGAAGCAGGTGAAAACGCCAGGGGAAATGGTGTGCTTCCCTTCAAAGCCCGGGTGTGAGCATCGAGTCACGGTCACTCTTAGCTGCAAGGGAGGCTGGAAGCGTGGTCCACACCCGGGCAACCAGGCGCAAGGGAAGCAGGCTGGAAGTGGGGTCCGCAGCCCTGCCTTTGGAGGGACAACTTCCAGTTTGCCACTATAATTAAGACAGACGCAGTATATCTTTTCAAAGCACGGTGGTTTTTTTCTTTATTGTTGAAAGTGTTACAGATGTCTCTCCTTTTCCCTGCATTGACTCCCTCCTCTCCCCCCTTCCCCACACTGGTGTCTGTGTCCACTGGTTGTGCTTATATGCGTATACGTTCGTTGGTTTATCTCTTCCCGCCCTCCACCCGCCTGCCCTCTGAGTTTTTAAAAAAAGAAACACAGTGCGTTAGTTTCCCAGGGCCTCTGTCATAAACCACCCCGCACCAGGAGGTTTAAAACAGTGTCACTGGGCTGCAATCGAGGTATCGCCAGGCCGAGTCCCTCCAAAGGCTCTGGGGGATGACCCGTGGCTGCCTGTCCCAGCCTCTGGTGGCTTCTGGCACTCCTTGGCTTGCAGCCATGTCACCCCAATCCCTGACTCTGCGGCAATATGGCCTCCTCTTCTGTCTGTATCAAAACTCCCTCGTACAGGGAAACCTGTGATTGTACGATAACTGGGATCATCTCCCCACCTCAAGATCCTTGACCGAATCTCGGCCATGAAGCCCTACGTTCCAGGAATTAGAACATAGATGTTTGGGGGGCGTCATGCAGATCCTAAGGCAGCAGTGTGAGGACAAGAGGTCTGGACGCATACCCAGGGGACAGAGGTGGTCATCTCTGGGAGCCGCTGGGGCACGGTCCCACGGGGTGTTCCTGTCGGAGGGGTGAAGAGCCCTGATCGTCACCCACCCACGTGTCAGCCACGGTTGAGCGCTGCTCCCAGGAGAGTGGTTTCTCTGGCACCTTCAGCCGGTGGCCAGGAAGCTCCCTAAGACAAAGAAAGTCAAGGCTGCAGTGACTGGGTGGGGGGGCCAGTATCACCTACTCCCCAGTCCCCACCACAAGGAGCTTATGGTCTGGCTGGAGAGATAGTTAAAAAACAAGTTAATCAATCAATAATAATAATAATAAATACCACCTGTGATAAGGCAACTGACCGGAGCTTTGGCAGTGGTGGGTGTGGAGAGGCACCTCAGTAGCATTCTGTGGTCAGGGACAGCCTCAGGGGAATGACATTGATGCCGCGGGTAAGGGCTGCATGTCATGTGAAGGGAGGGCAGGGCCTGAGGAACAGCACGTGCAAAGGCCCTGAGGTAGGAAAGGCAGTGTCCCAGGGACAGGAGACAGCCCAGGAGGCTGCGTGGCTGGTGAGCGGTGAGCCGGGAGAAGGAGCAAAGGTGTTAAGCCAGAGTGGGGGCCCCACTTTCCAGCGGGGCTCACACTCACGCATGCCTTCCTCCTTCACCGCCACGGTCACCTCCATTCTCAGCAGCCCCCCGCTGCACAGTTCCCCTTTCCTGCCTCCCTGGGGTGCAGGCAGAGAGACCAGGAGGGCACAGGCCATGGGCCACAGCCAGGGGGAGAGGCGAGGGTGGTGGCCAGGAGGAGGGCCGGGGGCCCTGCTGGACCCGCTCGGCACAGCCCACTCTTCCAGATGACCCCTCCTGTGCCGCCACTGTCTTGCAGTTATTTTTAAGATCTCATTTTCAGAGAGTGGAGTAGAAAACCTCTTTCTTTTGCCATTTTCCCCTCTTCTTTCTGTGAAAGATTAGGAGAGAGGTGTGAAGGGGGGAGGGAGCCCTGGAGGATGAGGTGTCCCTCAGCAGTGCACCTGCTTGGGGCCCAGGAGGCTCCTGCGGACTCTGGGTCCTCATCCCATGGGTCCCAGACCCCTGAGGCAGGACCCCCCTTGGGCAGCCCCTTTCACCCAGCAGGCACTTTGTGGGTGTTACTACACTGCAGCCCAGCGGGGAAGAAACTCCTGGTCTCCACCTTCATGGGGTGCAGGGTCCAGTGGGGAGACCCTGGCTATGAGCCAAAGGCCAGGGAAAACCCCAAGGCGGGGGGCTGGGGGAGGGGCATGGGCTTGGCCAAGGCCATGAGAAAGGCCCCTGGAGCAGTGGCGGGTTGGGGAGGTTCCGGCAGATGGAGTGCGTGTGTGTGTGTGTGTGTGTGTGTGTGTGTGCGTGTGCAGGGCAGGGTGAGCCTGGGTGGGCCGGCAGGGCTGGGACTGACCCCAGGTGCCAGGGACTGAGTAGACCCATCAGATGGGTGCTCTCCCTGCCACCCCACAGGAGGCCAGAGAGGGGAGTAACTCCCTGAACCAGGCAGGGCTGGAGGCTGCCAAATGCCAGGGGGAGGAGCTGGAGGGCACAGAGTCGGGGTCCCAGCAGCAGGGCCTGGGCCGGGCTGCGGCCCGGGGTTCGACCCCTTCTCCTAGGGCAGGAACAGCAGCCTGTTGTGTGGCCCCAGCGGCCGGGAAGGAATCGGAGTTGGTCCCTGCCAAGGAGCCAAGGTCAGAGCACCTGGTGTTCCCCCAGAGCGACAGCCCCCCAGTGGAGCAGAGTCCGCAGCCCCAGCTCCACCCCTGCGGTGGAGTCAGGGTCACCTCTCACACTCCCTGACCTGCCATTCAGGGTTCAGGAGGGCTGCGGGTGGGGACAGCAGCGTCACAGAAAGAACGCTGGGTCCACCCTCTCCGCATCCCCTGCAGGGAGTCCTGCCTGGGCCCACGGCGCCATCTGCTGGCGGCACAGGGAGGTGCAGGCGAGTGAGCCTAGAAGCCCCAGCTGGGCTTGTACCCTGGGGAGGTCCTGGCGCCCTGGGGGTAGGGGCAGGTGTGAAGTGGTCCATGGGCCTCCTCCTCCCCCTGGACTGGGGTTAGGAAGCTTCCGTTTGAACCTGGCTCCACCACTGACTCCCCAGCCAGTTCCTGACCTGCCTGAGCTTCATCCCAACGCCAGCGTGCAGGGCGGTGAGCACGCCCGGCTCCCAGGCTGCTGTGAGGAGCGGCCACCAGGCTGGAAGCCCGGGTCCTGCAAGGTTCATGGGGAGACAGGCACCAGGTGCGCCCCCGTGGGTGCTGGCAGGATGGAGAAGGGGGTCTAGGAGAACTGCCTTGCGTGCTGACCCTGCCATTGCAGAGTGACCCGTGGACAACTTCCCCTCCCTGGGCCTCGGAGGAAACCACAGCACCCACCGCTGGGCCTGTGTTGGGTTTGCAGATTCGAGGTCACCTGCTAGGGACAGAGCCAGGGACTGGGGAGGCCTCCACAGACACACCCCCGAGCCTCAGCTTCTCCTGCCCCCTAGCAGGAGTCCATGACACCTCCAAGGCATGGCCTGAGGGCCTGGCGAGGACGCCCAGAATGCCCGCAGCCATGCGCGGTGGCCTCCGTGCTGAGCTGAGCACCGCTCACGGAAAAGCTCTCGTGTCTCAGAACAGCCTGACGAGGTGGCATCGGTGGCCCATCTACAGAGGGGTCACAGCCTCAGGTCATCTGGCCAGCAGTTCCAGAGCTGGGGTTTGAACCCCGGGCCCAGCCCTAAAGCCTCCGTGGCCTGGGGGTGGGCAGTGGCCATCTGTTGTCTGAGACTCACCCACCGTGGCCCCAGGCCTGGGCATGTGGCTGTCAGCAGAGTGTAGGGGCTGCGGGCACAGCATGGTGGCCTGGGCCCTCCAGTCCCGGCTGGCGGGCAGAGGGAGGCACCCTGGGGCTGGGGCTATGGCCCAGCAGGTCCCGACACCAACATCCCCACGGTCCCTGCAGCACCCTCACAGCCTCACTCTTCACTCCAACCAAGGGCTTCCAAACGCTGAGTTTGGTGACAAGGGTCCGTGCTGGGGGTCCCCAGTCTGCTTCTGGACCCAGCTCCTCTGCAGTGGGGTCCGACCACAGCACAGTGTGATAGTCACACGGAACCCTGACTCTGCCCGCCTCCCGGCACGGAGCATGAGCAGTTCCCCGCTGTGTAGCGAGCGACCCAAACCATCGTCGTGCTTCAAACCGCTCCCTTCGCTCTCCGTTTCCTGGGTCAGGCTCCCGCACAGCCTCGCTGGGTCTTCTGTCAGGGTCTCTCTCGAGGCTGCAGCCAAGGTGTCTGCGGGGGCTGGCTCCCCGGCTCTTACAGGGGACGGCTGAGAGCCAGAGAGGGAGGGCCGGGTCGAAGGCCGCACCGGGGACACAAGTACACGCAGACACCCTGCTGTGCCCGGGACACCATGTCTGGCTTCACAACAGTGACCCTGGATGTGGAACCATTGTGACCTCAGGGGTGAGGTCAGGGCTGGCAGGGCCAGGGATGAGAGGTGCCCAGAGAGAGGGTTGCTCCTCTGGGCATGAGAACAGGGCCTGTGGGTTCTCCGAACTGCACCCCAAGATGGACAGGCAGCATTTGGAAAAGCAACACAGCCACATCACAGCGGAGAGGACATCATCAACCATGTCCCAGAGCCCCAGGTTAGCCAATGCCAGGCCAGGACCTTTGGGATCCCAAGAGGGGACCCCGATACCCTACTTCCCACAGGTCCCCTGGCCTCTTCCTCTCTTGGAGAGAACCTCCCTGGGGGGAATGGGGATTGAGGACAGACCCCCAGGCCCCGAACTGAGGACGCAGCTGGGGAGGGATGGCCCCCACTGAGCCCTGGGGGGCAGCGAGGCAGCTGGGGGAGGGAACCGGGACCTAGCCCTGTAGCTGCTGAGTCCCGTGCGCAGCAGGCGGGTGTCAGTCCAGTCCACACGCCTGCGGTGGAAGTGCCCAGAGGGACACACGCCCTGCTCCCCTGAGCTCCAGCTTCTTCAAGGAAGGTCCCTTGATGGCCTTGGGCCCCAGTGTCCTGAGCGTCCTGGACGGCCTAAGGGCAGCTCCACCTTCCTGACTGGAGGGTGCCCTCCAGGGGGGCACAGGGAGGTCCGGTTCCCCAGACTCTCCTGGGCGGTTCCGGAGCCCATTCCGGCCCGTGAGCCCGTTCCTGTGGGCTGTCCCGGGGAGCAGCCTGGCACCTTCCACTTCAGTCCTGATCACCGCGTGCTCATCTCCGTGTGGATGTCCGGCCGTCTCCTCCTCTGCCCGACTTAGATGCTTCCAAGGCGAGAACACCCTCCGGTCTGCAGCTGTCTGTCCGTGTTCCCATCATCTCTTTGGATTAGAAATGTGTTCCGTTTTGGTCGCCGCTGGGCTAAATGCGGGTTTGGGGAGAGATAACGGTCTTAGTGGTGGCCGTGGCCCGTGCCAGCTGGCCCGAGGCCCCTCCTGGGCACAGAGGGAGGCTAGGCTCCAGGCCCTGTGGTCTGAGATGCCCAGAGAGGTGGCACCAGCCAGGCTTCCTGTGAAATGCCGAGCCCTCCAGGGTGAAGGCTTCGGGCCCAGGGCCCAGGTCTGAGCCTGCACCCTTCTGCAGAGGCCGCGTGCCTGGGACGGGTCCCTGAGCCTCTGCCTGCCCGAGCTCGTGGGCTTGGTGGGAGGCCACCTCGCTGGGTGCTGAGGCTGCGATGGCAGAGCTGAGGTGACAAGGAGGCAGGCGGGGGGCAGCTGCCCTCGTCCCAGCATGACTTCATTCATTAGCCTCTCGGGCATTTCTTTAGTGGCCCGGCACACCCCCTGGGCACAACCTCGGCCCTGCCCCGCTGAGCCCCGCAGCTTGTCCATCCCTGTCCCCGCTTGATTGTCCTCCGTGTCTCTGTCCCCCGCCAACATGACACGTAGCTTCTTGTCCGCTCACCGTCTCTCCCCAAGAATGGGCGTGCCACGAGGGACAGGGTCTGTGCGTGTGCTGTTCACCGGAGCAGTGCCAGGCACACGGCTGGCATTTCATAAACACCCACCGAATGAATGAAGGCAGGAAGGGGTGATTCTGCCCAGGCTCCGCGTAGCGTCAGGGTGTGGTTTCTCTCCCCCAGCGTAATGCACAGAGAAGCACCCGGTGGTCGCATTTGTCAGGGATTCATCTGCCGCAGTTGCCACGCGGTGTTTCTATGGATGTGACAGTTTCCGTGGCCACCACTTTAAGGACATGTGTGTGGTTTTCGCTTGGGGCTATGACAAAGCCACTAAACGCACTTGTGTACAGACTTTCGGGTGGACGCACGTTGTCATGGCGCTCGGGTAGGCCTCGGTGTGAAAGAGCTGAGCGGCCGCGGCGTACCCGTCGGCATCCCGCCAGCGCCACCGGCACCGTCCAGGAACACGGCAACCTCGCCAGCGCTGAGTGTGTCGCGTTTCTCTGATTTAGCGGCTCCAGTTGACACGTGGTGATGTCCCACTGAGGCTGGTGGAGCGTGTTTTGTGTGTTTATTTGCCGTCTGTCTCCTTGGGTGGAGTGTCTGTTCCCATTTTCAGCCCATATTTGGACAAGTTGTTGGTGATTTTGTCTTGTGTCGTGTTCTCCATATATTCTGGAAACCGTCCTTCATCAGCTACGTGATTTGCAAATACTCCCTCCAGGTCCACAGCTCTTAGCTTCTCATTTTCTTGCAGGTGTCTTTCCACAAGCAGAAGTTCTTCATTCTGATGAAACCCAATTTTGTGATGTTTCTCTTTTATGGATAGTGCTTTTGGTGTCAACGTAAGAAATATTTGTCTAAGCCAAGATCACGAAGATTTTCTCCTACATTTTCTCCTAGAAGTTTTGGAATGTTGGGTTTGGCTTCTAGGTCTATGATCTATTTTGAGTTCATTTTTGTACATAGTTGGAGGCTTACATTGGGGGGGGTTGCACCTGTATATACAGTCATTGCTACACCATCTATTTGTCTTTTCTTCATTAGACTGCCTTCGTACCTTCATCAAAAATCAACTGGCCTTGTAGATGTGGGTCGTTTTCTGGACTATGTGTTTTGTTCCATTTGTTCATAGCTCTGTGATTTCGTCACACCACATTGTCTCGTCTGCTAGAGCTTTGTGATACATCTTGAAATCAGAAATCAGTCGGGTGTTCCTCCTGTGTTGTTGTTCTTCCAAATTGTTTTGGCTTCACTTCCTTCACTTTTCCACATAAACTTTAGAAACAACTTGTTGGTTCCTTCAAAAAAAGAAAGAAAGAAAGAAAGAAAGAAAGAAAGAAAGAAAGAAAGAAAGAAAGAAAGAAAGAAAGAAATCCTCCTGGGATTTTCATTGGAATTGTATTAAGTATTTAGACAAATTTACAGAAAACTAATGTCTTGACGATAGTGAGTCTTCTGATCCATGAACATGGTATGTCTCTTCTTATTAACGTCCTCATCATTTCTTTCATCATCATTTTGTACTCTACAGTATATAGATCCTGCAATCATCGGTTAGGTTTATACCTACACACCTCATAATCATTAGTGCTGTTGTATACGGTACCTTTGTATTTCAATTCCCAATTACTTACTGCCAGTATAGAAACATGACTGATTTTTGCATCCTGACTTTATATGTGCACGTCTGATGTACTCGCTTTTTTCGTTCAAGCCGCGCTCTTTCCTTTTTGTACGGGGAACCACGGGGGGATGCTGAGTGACGGGATCTGACGTCTTTTCTACGTGGTGGATGCGTAAAATATAGAGAGACAAACTCTCTAATATGCCGCTGCCCCACCTACTCCCGACACCCTCTGACCTCCCTCCGAGACCCCACCAGCCACGGGCGGTGGCCAGGGCAGACTGCGTGGTCCTGAAAAGACCGGGTCCTCCACTGAGTCAACGAGAGAGCTGCCCGGATGTCGTGTCCCAGCCCTCCAGTCCTACCAGCCTTGTCTGTCCCACCAACACTGGCTGGGGGACAGGCCCCCCCGAGCCCACAGGCAGTGCTGCTGATTCAACAGTGCCCCTGAGGCTGCGAGACGTGAGCCTCCTCCCAGGGCTCGGTCATCCACTGAATGGAAGGGCAGACGCCTGGAAGGATGTGACCCAGCCTGACCCAGACCCAGGTGCATCAGTGTCCCCTGCGCTCACATCCATGAGCACACACAGGGCACCCAGGTGCGTGCACCCAGGAGCCCGCTTCCATTTCAGAATCTCCTCCCACATCTTGGAATCCATGAAGGACGTGTCTTGCGGAAAGGCGCCCCAGACCGCCGCCCACAGGGACAAACCGATGCACCCCACTACCATCTTCCTGTGCAAGTCGAAGAGCAGCCAGGCTGCCCTGGTACCCCAGGAGCAGAAGGTGTTCTTGGAGAAAGCCTATAATGCAGGTGATCACCAGGCCTGGACTCAGGTTCTAGCACATTCCATCATGGCCCTTCACCCATAGAAGTCCCGGGGATGAGGGCCAGGGGAGTCCACCCTCCAGGACCTGGGGGATGTCGGGTGTGGACATAGGGAGCTCTGCACACCCTCCTTGGCCTCTTCATGATGCCTTAGCCCAAAAATGCCCTTTCTCACACCTCACCTCCACTCTCCTCCCGCACCTCCACTCTCCTCCATTCTCCTCCACTCTCCTCCACTCTCCTCCCGCACTCTCCCGCACCTCCATTCTCCTCCACTCTCCTCCACTCTCCTCCCGTACCCCCCGCACCTCCCGCACCTCCCGCACCTTAGAGCCTCGGCTTAGGCCTGGCTCACTCCCTGAGAAGATTTTCCCCTCACTCAAAGATGACTTGCCCCCATCCTTCTAAGCAAAGTTAAATCGCTCCCTCCTTTGAGAAGCCAGTCTTCACTGCCCCTCCTCTTAGTCGGCATTTGTTGGCCCTGCCCTCTGCGTGCCCAGGGCCTTTTATACAACTACCCCCCAGAACCAGTCTACTGATACTGGTGAGGGCTCCCTGCCCAGGGCTCCTTCAGAACATAGCTGAGCCCTGACTCCTCTTTGAGCCCCAGGACCACCCAGAGTGAACATCATCGAACGTCAGGTGACTGGACAGAGGGTGAAGGGATGAAAGAATGAATAGATGGAGAGATTAGAGATGGATGATGAGTTTATGGATGGAAGGATGGATAGATGGATGGATGGGTGAATCAATGGGTGAGTGGAGGGATATATTTATTGATGGTTGGATTGGTGGATGAGTATAAGGATGCACAAACAAGAGGATGGATAGATGGATTGATGGACAAACAATGTGTGAATGTGTAAGTAGATGGGCAGATGCATCATTGGATAAGTAGGTGGATCAACGGGTGGAAAGGGAATAGTTAGATCAATGAATAGAAGGAGAGAGGCAGCCCTGCTCCTTCTGTCTTGAACCTCAGGGGCCCAGGGGCGTGCTCAGTGCTCCAGCCCTCGCTTCTAGGCTTCTCCCATCCCCGCCCACCCAGCCCCACTGGCACGACAGCCCACCCACCTCACACCTGCTTGCCATGTGCTCTAGCCATCTGCTTCAAGATGCTCCGAGACCTGAATGGTTCGGACCCGGTCCGACTGAAGTACATTGTCAAGAAGATCAAGAACATGGCTCACAAGGCCCCCAACCTGGTGCTGGAAGCCATTCACGACTACTTCGTAGACAGCCCTAAGGTAGGAGCCGCTCGGGCCACTCGTGGGAGACCCGGGGAGCAGGGGGCTGGATCCCGAGGCAAACCCAGACCTTGGCTGCTTCATGCAGCAGCTGCGTGATTTGGGGCACGACAGTCTCCTGCTGTCCAGTGGTCTGAGGGGAGCGGGGAAAGCAGACCTGTATGTGTTGACTGACCTGAGAACAATCTCACGACGCAGATATTATGATCCTCGTGGATGAGGAAACTGGGGCTTAGGGAAGGGGAGGGATCTGCCTAAAGCCACAGACCATTAAGTGGGAGAGAGAGATGGATAAATGGATGGGTGATGGGTGATGGGTGGGCGGGTGGATGGACAGATGGGATGATGGATGGATGATTGCTGGGGAAGATGTGTATGAATTTTAATGAATGAGTGAATACATGAAGAAATGCTTTTAAAACCCCCTAGCAGCTCCCTGAGGGTGGGGACACATGTTTATTCGTCTGTCTCTGCAGAACTAGTTCAAGGTCTGCATATAGCAGGTGTTCACTAGATGGATGTTGGACATATGCATCCACTTGGGGTCTTCCCCTCGGGCCTCCTCCCCCTCCCCCATCACTCTCTCACTTCCCCTGAGCCTCTGTCCGCTCTGCCGCCCACAGATCTCGGACAGGCACCGGTTCCGGCTCCTCCACGTACTGGAGGCCGTCATCGAAGCCATTGACTCCCTGGAGGGAAGCTGGGAGGAGACCTTCATGCAGCTGGCCCTGGAGAACATGACCAAGTCCACGGTGGGCCTCCCCTCTCCCCAGGGCCCCGGGGAGGCAGGCAGCTGCCCAGGGATCCAAATACGCTAGGACGGCCCAGCCTTGGGTGGACCAAGTGGTTCCCGTCCAGTTTCTCGTCTTCTCGCCACCAGCCCCTTCAGAGGGACAACATCACACACCCATTTCACAGTTGAGAAAGGTGAGGTCAGAGAGCTCATTACTGTGTGAGGGCCCATAGCAAGGAGCCAAATGCCTGCTACCGCTCGGCGCCGGGTCTCACCCATCACCCAGGCTGCCTGCCTTTGGGGTCCTGCCTGACCGAGATGCACAGGTTTGAACGTGGACCACCCCTTCAACCCCACGTTCCCCCAAGGCTGCAGTCCAGAGAGCTGCTCCAGGCCAGCCGACTATCTCAGCTGATTATGGCTGCAGGGGCTCGGGGGCTTGTGGCTCGTATTCCGGCCACTAGCTCCGGGCAGTTCATTGGACTAGCCAATAAACACACGACTAGTCATGGTCAGAGAGTGGTGACTGGTCACCAGGCTCACCACCCTGGGTCCACGCCCTGGCACCCCACGAGGCGGGAATGGCATGACTCACCCCCAATAAGTGTTTGCAACCCCACTCACAGATGGAGGGGCCGAGGCGCTGCTCTTAGGAGGTGCCTCAGTCACTACCCAGATGGTAAACAGCGGGTGTGACGAATTCCCTGCCCCCGCAGAGATGCCTGCTCATCACCCTCGCCTGACTGTCAGAGAACAACGGAAGCATGTCCGTAGCTACTATGTTTTTTTCTAAAATTCTTTTTTTAATTTATAAAAAACATTAACTCATCATTTTGAAGTAAATCAGGCATATTTTTAATATTTTATATATTTTTTTTTAGTGAAAAAGAAAGAGAGAGAAACATGGATGTGAGAGAAAACATGAATCCGCTGCCCCCTGCACGCCCCCTGCTGGGGATCAAGCCCGCAACCCGAGCATGTGCCCTGACTGGGCATCGAACCGGGACCTCTCAGTCCATGGGATGAGGCTCAATCTGCTGAGCTACACTGGCCTGGGCAGATCAGGCATATTTTAAAAGTTCAGGGCATTTATGTATAATTCACAGACCTATAATAATAATAATAGGGCTGGGGGAGGGGCATATTGACCAAGGGAGTGAGGCTGGAGGACAAGCAGAGCCCACTCGTGTCCCGGTAGCAGCCTCACTCCAGCCCCTCCAAGGTGGACAAGCGCCCCTCTGGGGCAGCCTGAGGGGCGGGGCAGTGCTGGGGGCCCTCTCCAGCCTGGGTCGGGGCAGGCACTCCTGCGGGTGCCACAAGCTGGTCAGGACTCAGAGGAGAGCGGGCACACCCTCACCCAGGTCCAGACCAGCCGAGCACTGAGCCCTCAGCCTGAGCCCGTCTGGGACTCCTGCTGCCCACCCCGGTCAGGACCTTGTTCCACATCCCGCAGTAGCTTCTTGGGGAGCGTGCTCGGGAATAGGACTCTCAGACCTCGCCTTCCCGGACACCTCTGCTCTGTTCGCCACAGACCGTGCACTGGAAATGGTGCTCCCATGGTCTTCCTGCCCCCCGGGGCTGTGGGGGCGCCGTCCGAGCCTTGCTCTGTCTCCGAGGCCTGCCTCCCTGCTGGCAGGCTCCAGAACCTTCCCTCCGCCCTGTGCTCTGGGCTTCATGACGGTGGCCTCGCTCTGGGGCTGTTTTCAGCCACCAGGCTTTGTGGTCCTGCCTCTGGCTGCTCGGCTCTTCTCGGTGGAACGGCTCACGTCGGTCCACTGGTGCCGTCCCCGCGAGGCCCTGTTCTGGGCCCAGGTCGCCTACCACAGGCGGGGCGCTCAGAGGCTCCTGATGTGCTTATCTCACCGCTGCCTTCCCCGTCTCTGTCCTCCGGCCCACCCGGAGACCGTCCTTATCTCCGACCTCCTAATTGAGTTTCCCGTCCTCGCCCGCGTCTCCAGCTTCCAGATCTTGATTTGTTCTCAGAGCGCTCCCCTCTCCTGCCGCACTGCCGGCGCGTCGGGGCGCACATCTCCTTCTGTCTCTCAGAGGATGTTAGAGAGGGCTCTGCTGGACGCGTCCACGCCCCGCTCGGCCCGTGTCTTCTGGGCTCCGTCGGGTGTGCGGACGCGGGCGTCATCCCCTCCCACACCCCAGGCCTGCCCCCCCACCCACCCCCGCGCGCTGGCTGCGGGTGGTCAGGGGTGATCGGGCGCTCTGACACAGAGGCCAGCTGATAGGGTGCGGGGTCCATCGTGGTGTACAGGGGTGAGCCCACTGCCCCCTGCACCCCCATGTCACAGCTCTCTGTCCTTCCTCCTGGGCCGTCCAGCCTCAGAGCAGACCCAGTCCAGTGCCCGGGCTGGGGGCTGAGGCCGGGAGGTGTGGCAGAGGACCTGGCCTGCCCGGTGACCACTCCCTGCGCACAGGCCCGGCTCAGAACCCCCTGCAAACACCAGGCCTCCGGACTTTGCCGAGGTCTCAGGTGTGCAGAGGGGGCAGGGCGTCCAGGCACCTGGCTGGTTCTTCAGCCACGTTACCCCACCCACCAGTTGCAGAGGTGAGGGAGCCGGCCGCGCTCACTGTCTGCCCACCCATGCCCCGCAGGAGCTGGAGGACGCGTACCAGGACGCAGCCAGCAACGTGCTGGTGGCCATCTGCAGGCACTCCTGGAGGGCGGTGGCCCAGCACCTGGAGACCGAGGTCCTGACGGGCGTCTTCCCACACCGCAGCTTCCTCTACGTCATGGGCACTTTGACCTCCAAGCGTACGTCCTGCCCGTGGGTCCTGAGGCGCCCCCAAGCCACCCTTTGCTCCCAGGCCAGCGTGGTGGGGGTGGGGCAGTCGTGGAGAGAGATTGGGGGGGAGGGCTGAGGGGTGAAGCATGTTCATGACAGAGGGCAATCAGCTGCGGACCGAGCACCCCCACACACCGCCCTCGGCCAATCCAGACATGGTGGGAGCCTGTGGAAGGTACCACCACTCAGCTGTGCTGCCCATCCTGACTCTAAGTTGGGGTCCCACTGGGATGAGGGCTCAGCCAGCGCAAGACAGCAAATGCTGACTGAGAGCCTGCCAGGTGCCAGGCTCCCTGCCACCAGGAGCGCACAGGCAGGCAAGCACCTGCTCTCATTAGACTCATTCATTCATTCATTCATTCATTCACAAGTGTGAGCTGAGCTCACCGCTGCCCAGCTGGGGAGGCACTGGTGGCCATCAGGGAAGGCTTCCTGGAGGAGGCGGCCAAGTCTAAGCTGTCTGTGAGGGAATGTGTTCGCCTCAGGGCTGAGGGAGGTATTGGTGGGCAGTGTCAGCGAGGGATTGGGGGCAGGAGGAGGACAGAGCATGGCCTCGACGGCCATGCCTGGGAGTTTAACCACTAAGGCCTAGGAGAAGGCAGCATCCAGTTTGCCTCCGCTTTGCACCCCTGCCCTGGGACTGGCAGGCTGGATGGAGGTCCCTCTGTGCCTGGGGTGACCTCTGAGACCCCCAGGGTCACCCCTGAAGCAGCCCTTCCCTTTGAGGCTGGGTTTCCTGTCTTGCAATGTTCCCCTCTCCCCTCTCGAAGCCTTATTTTCCCACCTTGAGGGGACCCCGGCACGTTCCAAAGGGCTACTCCGGAGGGACCCCTTCGTCCGCCATTGGTGAACCTCACATGGCCTCCGAGGTCACAGAGCAGGGCCGCAGGGCCGCAAGGCCAGCTTGGCTCTGGGCCCGGAGCTCCAGCGCGGTTCACGGTCCTCGGGCTCCCCTGCTCTGGGGCTGAGGCCGGACAGCGCCACCCTATCAGCCCGGTGCCCGAGGGACAGGGGAGGGGACCCTGAGAGCTGGCCTGGCGGGGACGTCAGACCCGGCCCCGGTGACCTCTCGCCCACAGAGGAGCTCTTCAACCAGGAGGAGAAGACAGGCTGGGAAGAGCAGCTGACCAAGGTAGGGGCCGGACAGGGGGGCCTTTTGTGAGCACAGCGGGGGTGGGGGAGCAGGCTGTACACCAACGTGGATGGGCACATCTCAGCCTTGGGGGGAGCCCTACTTTGCAGGTGAGCACACAGGCTTTGGGAGGGGCGGACTTGACCACAGTCATGGCTGGTCCCTGGGGATTGAACGCTGGCCCTTGCGTGCCTGGCACAGCACACAGAAGGCCTTCCCACCCATCTCGGGCTGGACCCGTGGCTGAGGGGCCAGAGAGGATGCAGAGGCAGAATCTCCAAGCAGGGCAGGAAGGAAGCAGGTTGGGGTGGGCTAAAGCCGCCATAGCCGAGGCATGGTGTCTATGCAGGACCGTCTCTGAACCCCCCTCCCCCATGAGGGCCGGTGTGGCTAGGAGAAGGACTGTGGGACACTGGCTGACTGGGCCCAAGTCCACATTCAGCCAACCCCAGCTGACCTACTATGACTCTCAGAACCTCCGTTCCCTGGTCTGTCGGCTGGGGATGCAGTGCCGAGCTCAGAGTCTGTTGTGGGGGTTGTGGGGGAGCCCACATAAAGGGCCTGTTAAATGTTAATTACTATTATCACATAGCAGCAGAACAGTCGTAATTAAATGGTATCTAGAAGAAACAAGACCAGCAGAGGCAGCGATACAAGTAATTAATAGAGAAATAAGACAGAAAATCACTCAGGGTGTAGACGACTTGAACAACCTAATTAAGCACATTGATCTAATTGACGTTCCTTTCGGAGGGAAGCTGGCCGCTCGTTGCAGGGTCACATGGCAGCCCCAGTACACTTGGAAGGACTGAGACCAAGCAGAGTCCCTTCTCTGGCCAGAACATAAATGAAAGATCAATAGCAAAAATAGACCTGGAAATTTTTCAAATGTTTGGGAATTAGACAGCACACTTGTAAGTGACCCATGGATCACCGGAGAGATCGCAAGGGGGCTGAGACTATGTGAGCTGAACATGAGAGCGCCACCCATGGACGTCGGTGGGTTCGACAGAAAGCAGTGCTTAGAAGGAAATGTATATTGTTATGTTATTATCTTAAAAAAACATTGTTATTTTTATTTTTGAGAGAGAGAGGAAGGGAGAGGGAGAGAAATGTTGGGGACTAAGCCACAACCCAGGCATGGGCCCTGACCCAGATTTGAACTCGCAACCGCCGGTGCACAGGGTGACACCCAACCAATGGAGCCACGCCGGCCAGGGCAGAATTTATATGTGTGCATGCCTATACTAGAAAAGAAGAAAGGCAACATTCTGTTGTCTAACCCTTCATTTTAAGAAGCCCTCTCTCAAGAAAAGAGCAAATTGACCCAAAGTAGAAGATAAGAAGTAATAAAAACCGGAGGAGGAATCAAAAAGTTTCTAAAAGAACAAACAATAGAGTGTGAATAAAACCCAAAGTAGGTTATTCAAAAAGAGGCTTATAGGTTGATCAAGAAAATGAAAACAGCCCAGCCGGTGTGGCTCAGTGGTTGAGCGTTGACCCTGCACCAAGAGGTCGCCGGTTCGATTCCCGGTCAGGGCACATGCCCAGGTTGTGAGCCCGATCCCCAGTGGGGGGCGTGCAGGAGGCGGCCAATCGATGTTCTCTCTCATCCATGTTTCTGTTTCTCTCCCTTTCCCTTCCTCTCTCTAAAATCAATAAAGAAAAAAATATTTTAAAAAATAATAATGATCATGATAAAATAAAGAAAATGAAAACAAAATCCCAGAATCAGAGAGGAAGCCGGCCGCCCTCGTGGCCTTCACACGTGAACAGCGAGGACACGAGTCCTCGGTGCGTTAGGCCAGTTACCTGGGGCAGGAGGGGCCAAACCGGCCTGCGGGGACACGGAAGTCCCGGGCCCTGTGCCAGCACGAGTCACAGTCGTGCACCGGCCCGCAGAGGAAGCTCCAGGGCTTGGGCACCGCGCCGGTCAATCCCATCACCGTTCAGGAAGAAGGAAACCAATTCTCCACACTGTCGGGAGGGGGAGGGGAGAGGAGGGGGAGCCACTGAGTGGGCACGGAGGGCAGGCGTGGGCCCGGCTGCCGAGGGCCCCAGCCCCGCTCACCCCATCTGCTCACAGATAGCCGCCCAGTCGGCCCAGTTCCTGAGCGTGGACGTGTGGTCCAAGGAGCTGCTGTGGGCACTCACCAAGCCGGACCGGACGCACCAGGAGCAGCCCCCGGAGAAGGTGGGCCACGCTCCGCCCCCAGGAACGGCCTGCTGCCCACCCACAGGGCGACACCTGAAGAGGGGCCCTGGGGCTAGAAAGAAACCGGCAGACCTGAGAGAGAGGGGGTTGGGGTGAGAGCAGGACTTGAAGTCGCACCCCTGAAGCTCGCCACCAGGCGGGGTGATGGTCCCACAGGGCAGCTGCGGGGGCCCTGGCAGGCCGCCCAGGTGGACAGGGATGGACAGGGGTGTCCGGCTCAGGACAGGAAGCTGAACCTTCCCCAGGCCTTCCTGTTCGTCTTCTATGGACTGGTCCTTCAAGCTGAGGAGAACAGCACCACAGTCAGGACACACCTGAGGACCCTCCTGGGGACGTCCCACCAGTGGCCCAAGCAGAGGGAGGTGAGGACCCAGCTCTCAGCCTGACCGCAAGCCTGGCCCGCCCCTGTCACCGGCTGAGCCCTGCCCTCATCCCCGGACCGTCCTTCCGACCTCTAGCTCCTTCTGCTCAGAGCTGGGGCGGGGTGATCACAGGCCTCCCCGGAGGCACCCCCGCCTCCTGCCTCCTCAACCACCCTCCAGGCCCCGTAAAAGAAACCACTGTGGGGTCAGGCTCAGAGATGCATGTCCCAGTGTGCAGGGTGGAAGGTGGGTATCTGCGACAGACAAGCCCCATCCTGGTCTCATTTCCACACCCTCAGTGAGGGGCCAGGCCTGGTCTGGGGTCCCCACATGGTGACCCTGTCCCCACCCGCAGGGCCTCGCTCTCACGATGGGGCTGACCGCAGTGCGCCACCTGGACCACGTGTGGGCCGTCCTGGAGCAGTTTGGCCGGAGCACACCCATCAAGTGGAGCCTTCACAGCTTCTCCCCAAAGGTACTGGCTCTGGGGTTATTGGGGTCTTGGCAAGGAACTGGAACATCGGGGCCCCCACCCTCTAGAAAGGTCTGAGCCTCCCAGAAGGACCCCTTGGGGCAAGTTAGGGGCACAAGCTTCGGACCATGTGTCCTGGCCTCTGGTTCTGACCCACCTCTGCACCCACCTGCAGTGTGACCCCCTGGGCCTCAGTTTCCCCTCGAATAGTTCCTCCCTCCCTTGCCAGCTGTTGGGTTAAAATGAGCTGTGCCAGGAAGTGCTTGGTGACAGCTCCCGGTACGCTGTGGTGGCCACTGTGTTCATTAGCATCTCTTTGCCGGTGGCCTCGTCTGAAACATGAAACAAGGGCCAGAGGTCATGAGCCCCGGCCGAAGTATGGGGTAGCCACCCCAACCCTGCTGCACCCCAGATAACTCCCAGGGGCAGAGATGTTTTCCCTATTTTCCTACTCAGGTAAACTGCCGCCCTCAGAGCCTGAGCCTCCAGGACCCCGCTAGGGCCTGGGGTGCCTCCCATCACTGCTCCCCGGAGTTGGGGTCGAGCGGGCCCTGACGCTCCTCATCTGCCCCGCCAGGGCCGGACCTCGGAGGACCTGCAGTGGAAGTGGGCCAGCAGCACCATCCTCCTGGCCTACGGTCAGATGGCGGCCAAGGCCAAGTCCCACATCCTGCCGTGGGTGGACAACATCCTGTCGCGAATGGTCTTCTTCTTCCGCTACAGCTCCTGGGTACGTCCTGCGCCCAGGGCCACCCCTCCCCCTCGGCGCGTCTGCTGCTGGTGACCGTGGCTCTCGCTCTCTCTGTCCTCCCCACCCGGCTCCTGGGCCTCGCCCCCACGCAGGACGAGACCCTGAAGCAGAGCTTCCTTACTTCCATCCTCATGCTGGTGGGGGCCGTCAGCCGCAACAGAGGCGCCCACAGCTACGAGTTCTTCCAGATCGGGGAGCTTTTAGAGTGTCTGGTGGTGAGCCAGGTCCTGGGGCACAGGGAGGGGGTCGGGGGGCCTTCAGAGGGGGCACTGCTGGGAAGGGGGCGGGCAGCCGGGCTTCCGGAACGTGTACCACCCAGCGCAGGCTTCCGTGTCTGGAAGCTCATCCTCGTCCCCTTCGCTGGGCTCTCCCAGTGCCCCCGAGCTGGCCAGGGACGTCCCCGCACAGGTGATGCTACTGAGGCCCAGAGAGGCCGAAATCATCCGTTCTGCTTATGCTGACCGAGCTAAGACCAGTAGTCACTGGAGATTGTGGCCGCACAGAAACCCCGTTATGGGGGAAACGCACCAGCGATGGGCACAGGGACGGGCAGTTACAGGAGTAACGACAGCAGGGGACTGCCTCTCCTCTTGAATAACACACGTGCAACAACGCCATGTTATCCGCGAACGAGGCTCGGAGAGTCTGCAGACTTGCCCAGGGTCAGGCAGCTGACCTGTCTGATTCTGAAGTCCGTGTTCTAGCTCTCTGAGTGGGGCCAGGCACCCAGTGGTCAGCCGAGTGCCCAGCACCACGGTCTTTAGGAAGAGATTAGACTTGGTGTCAGGAGTAGGGTTCACCCTGCACGAGTGACCGTCTTCACCGGGGTACCGGCAGGTTCTGATGGAGAAGGAGCCCACGGACGCCCTGTGCACATCGACCCGCCAGCAGACCATCCACATCATCTCCAGCCTCTGGTAGGCTCCCCAGCCGCACGGGGGACAGGGCAGAGGTCAAAGCCCTGCTGGGAAAGGCCAGGGTGGCCGTGGTGGCCAGGGGACCAGATCATTTGGTCTGGGGCCACGGCCACTCCCCAGAGTGAGCTGACCTCTGCGCACTCGGCGTCGGAGCAGTCGCTCAGGGAAGGTCCGAGCCACAGGCAGAGCCCAGAGCAGGCTCCACCTGTCCGAGGAGAAAATACAAGGGAAACTGAGCCTGGACTCCAGCCAGCATCCCAGGGAAGAATGAGGCTCAGGGACGGCAGCGCAGGTGGCAGGTCCTGATTTAGCCGTCCACCTGCAAGCAGGGTGAGGGGGTACCTGGCCCCCTCCCTGCCCAGGACAGGGTGAGTCTGCCCAGGAAGCGGAGGCTCAGGGAGCTCAGAGCTGCCTGCTCTCCAACTGCAGAGGAGCACGGCAGGCAGCAGCCAAGCTTCCCGCGAGCCCAGCGATGCCCTCGGCGGGCGCAGCTGGAGTTGGGCGGGCCCTCCTCAGAGTGCTGAGACCAGGTTCAAATCTCAATGTGAACCCAGGGCCGGGGAGATTCCAGAATGCCCCATAAAATGTGCCTGGGGTGCAGGGCTTTGTGAGTTCCTGCTCCCAACTGATCCAGCGAGTCCCTTACAAACACCTGTGGAAGCCACCTGCACAGGAGGCCTGCCACGGACACAGAGGGAAATGCTGGGGAGGCAGAAGTGTACACATGAGTCAAAGCAGAAAGGCCAGAGAAAAGGGAATCCCTGAGTCCCAGGGGGGCTGCTGCTGGGGGCTTGCCCACTCCTGGCTACGCTAGCAGGTGTCCCCTTTCCATCCCCAGCCCCTCCCTCACCACCTCTGTTCTCCACACAGTAAGCTGAGGCCGCCCCTGGACGTTGAGAAGAAATCACGGCTCCTGTCCGTCTGCCTCCGCAGCGTGCTGGCCCTGCCGCTGCTGGACGTCCTAGAGAAACATACCTGCCTCTTTCTGGAGCCACCCAATGTACAGGTGTGAGCCTGGCGCCTGCACACCTTCTCCGAGAGGGGCCCGCGGGCAGGGTACCCAGCTCTGTCTGCTGCTCATGCCCTGGAAGGGAGCTGGTGTTAACAGCACCTGCGATGGGCCAGGCCCTGTGGCGCTCCCCAGGGCACCCAGGGAGTCCACACCTGCACCCAAGGGCCCTGCTCCCATGGGCTCTGAGGGAGGGTGAGCTAAGTCATTTCTGTGGCCCCTTCCCTCCCTGAGCATGCCCGGTGAGCCAAGCAGTAAAGATTGCGGGCCTCGTGTGGGGGACCCAAGAATTGGAACCAGCTGCGTAATTTGCTGGGACCCCTGAAAAATGAAAATGTGGGACTCGTGTTTAGAATCTATTAAAAATTTCAAGATGGTGATGGCAGAGCCATAAACGGGACCCTCACAGGCCCGTGCAGGCCCATCTCAGGCCCGTGTGGGCTGCCTGCCCATGAAGTCAGCCCTGCTAGAAAGGAACTAGTCTCAGCTACCGAGAAACCTGTGCCTTTGGGCAGGCCCAGACCACCTTCCTCCCAGCCCACCCATCTGCCAAATAGGGATTGCCATGGGGCCCTTCCTCGCACGTGTGAGTTCGCGGGTGGGCACCCTGGCCTGGGCAGTCTGCAGGAAGTGGGCAGTCCCAGCACTGAGCGGCCTGAAGCACTCAGCCCCGCACAGGCCTCTGCCGCCTGTCCACGCCCCAGGTCTGGCACCTGACCGGTGTATCGTCCCCACACAGACCCTCTACCAGCAGACCTCAGAGGCCCTGGACCAGATGCTGCAGACCTTCATCATGCAGAACCCCACAGCGGACGAGCTGCAGTTCCTGCTGTCGGTGAGGTGGGGGGCAGTGCAGGCCAGGGCACGGGCAGGCCGAGGACAGAGGGTGAGCAGCAGGACGTCCAGAGGGGACAAGGCCGGAACTGGGGTGGGGAGTTCCAGGAGGCTTGAGAGCTGACCTCTATAGGGATCACAATGATTTGGGACAACTGGGGGTGGCACAGGGGCAGGCACAGCAGGTGGTAAGTGGGTCTTAAATGCCACATTAGCCCTGGATGGTTTGGCTCAGCGGTTAGAGCGTCGGCCTGCGGTCCAGAGAGACCTGGGTTCAGTTCCCGCTAAGGGCACATACCTTGGTTGCAGTTTGTCCCCAGCCCTGGTTGGTCGTGCGGGGGGCAGCCACTCGATGTGTCCCTTTCACGTTGATGTTTCTTTCTCTCTCTCTATGTTCCTTTCTCTCCCTCTTGCTCTATCTGAACAAAAAATGGAAAAATGTCCTCGGGTGAGGATAAAAAAAGAAATGCCACACTAAAGGGAGCTGGTGCCCTCCCACCCTCCACCCCTGAGAATATCCCCTGCAGCCATGCCCCCAGCTTTAAGGGGGACTCATAAGCTCACCAGCCCCACTTTCTCACTTGCCCTCTGGGGGTCCTGCCTGGACAGGAGGGAGACCATTCACTAGGCAACGACAGTATCTAGAGGTAGGGCAGGACCCAGGCAGGTCAAAGGTCAAGGTCACTGGGACTGCACCTTAATGAAGACTAGGGAGATGGGAAGGGCAGGCAGGGCCCCGCAGGCAAAGGACACACAGGGGAAGTGAACAGCAGTATGAGGACAGTGGGCCCAGTGGGTTCTGCATGGCCAGGGCATGGCTGGGCGCTAAGGTGAGGTCAGGTCAGCAGGGGCTCCCAACCTGGGGGCACAGATGGAAGTTGGGGTGCACGAGCATGGCTAGGAGGAAATGCCATCCACCTTTTCACTCCCCTCAAGCTGCAGAGTAGCCCCTCCCCTGGGAACGTGGTTGACAAACCTCAGCAGTGCCAGAGGGACCATCTGCCACCTGTGGAAGTCACAGATGTCATAGGGTGTCATCCCTAAATACCGTTTACCCTCCTCTGACCTCAAAATCACTACTCTAGTGGCACTCTGCCCTAACAAAGGAACTCGATTTGTCTTAAAGTTGTTCACCGCGTGGGGCTGTCTCGTGGGCCTCGGTACCCCTTACAATTCTGCGCAGTTCCGCTGTGCACAGGGAAGCATTGCTCTGGAGGGGAGCTTTGCGTGGGCAGGTTAACAAGCGGGAGCTTCCCCGGGCTTTGAGCAGCAGCAGGGCTGTGTCAGCTACAAAAGGAGGGAAAGACTAGCAGTGGGGCTGCCTGGGCCTCTGCAAGGGACAAAGAAGGCTGCCTTGTAGAGTGTGGGGGTTGAGGGGGCGGAGCCTGAACCTATGATGGATCCTGAGCCCTCTTATAGGACAGCTCCTTGCCGAGGGGGCGGGGCCTGAGCTGATGTGGGCGGGGCATGAGAGGAGGGCCTTGCTGTGGGTGAGCAGGGATTGGACCTGGGGCAGGGCGGGGCCGAGGCCTGCGGTGGGGCGGGGCCTGGGCAGGGCGGGGCCTGGGGCCGTGGGGCGAGCTGGGTCCAGGCCGGCAGCACCCTTGCTCCTGCCCAACTGCAGCACTTGCACGTCTGGCTGGCGTCGGAGAAGGCGCACGAGCGGCAGCGGGCTGTGAACAGCTGCGTGGGCCTCCTCAAATTTCTGAGCGACAATCTCTACCTGGACGTGAGTACCTGGCTCGCGGGTCCCACACCCCACACCACCTCTATTGTCCCAGCCAAACCTGTCCCTCCCAGAGTCTGCTGGGGTTCTCAGGGTTGAAGGCCCCTGCGCCCCTGCCACCAGCACAGGGTGGATGCCCGAGTGCCCTGCGTGGCCAGGTAACAACCCCCCCCCTTCTACATCTGAGGACATAGTCTGGGGTGGGGATTAAGGACCTCTCGGGGCTTCCCGCTGGGCTCTGAGCCAGATGCCCTGACCCTTGACCCAGGAGGCTGGGCTCCTGTCAAAGCTCCCAGAGCCCCACCCTGAGCTTCTCACCCACAGACGGGAGGGAAGGCGGCAGTCAGAGGAAGTGGGGCCATGAAGGGCTCGGAAAGTGTTCCACCGTGCCCCAGACGAGGGTTAGCACTCACCATCCCACCACCCTCCGTCCATCAGGACCCCCATCGGTTCATGGGTCCCAGCCTAACCTCCATCTTCCGCTATGGTCCCTGGGGTGAATGGACATCAGCCCTCAGCCCTGCTCAGGGAGTGAGTGAGCTGTCCCTCACCTATCAGCCAGAAGCAGCACTAATTCCTTAGGGAGCTCCTGGGCGATAAGGAAGGTGAAGAGTGGGCGTGGAGTGGTGGAGCAAGGTCTGACCAATCAGAGCAGACCAGCGCCAGGTGGCCAGCCAGGCTCTCCCTGGATGCCCACACACTTCCATCAGGATCAGTAATGTTTTCATGGGACGTTTCAAACAATTAACTCGGCGAACTCTGGCCAGTGGGCTGCCTGCCTGTTGGCTCAGGTCTGAGGTTAGGCCAAGACAAATGAGGCCATGGAAATGGAGAGTCGACACTGTCGTTGTTTACAATTCTGAAACTTACTTCAGCATGGGGGTTTTCCGTTCATTTTGATTTTTCTAAATAATACATGCAAATATGATTTCTCTTGATTTCTGAGTTTTTTGGCCACCCCTTCAGTTTTGCCCAAGCCCGAGTCCCAGACCTGCCACATGACTGGAGGGCGTCCATCCCGGCACGGGCTATGCTGGGGGGCACGTGTGGCAGGGCGGGGGCTCCATGGGTGGGTTCTGCCATCAGTGGTTGTCCTGCACTCTCCCCATAGCCAAAAGAGGACCTCAAACGGATCGGGCAGCTGATGGGCATGCTGGGGATTCTGTGCCAGGACCCAGACAAGTACACCCAGCACCGCAGCCTGGAAGCATTGGGCCATGTCTACCAGCTCATCATGCGCCACAGAGGTGAGCTTCCCAGGGCCACCCCGGTGGCCCCACTCCCTAACCACAGCCTCAGCCAAACGCCCCCCCCAGCACTCCTAAGTCAACTGCCCCCCAGTCTGCCTCCAGACCCTCCTCTAACCTCAGCCATACTGCTACGATGACTTCACACAGACCCCAACTCTGAGCACATCCCCAAACCTGAGCACAGCCCGACCCTGAGTGCCAGTGACCCCACCTAACTCCAACCTGTCCCAGCCTAGACCCCAAGGCCGCCTTTGCCCTGTGCTCACCCCTGCCCTCTGCCCCCTGGCCAGCAGAGTCTTCACAGGTGCCAGAGCTGGTCCCCCAGCAGCTCTCCCAGGCCAGCAAGGACGGAGCCCTGCTCTGGAGCAGTGGAGACCAGAAGGCCTCTCTCCCCACCCCCCAGGAGGTGGTGTTCCCAAAGGACCCAGTCTTCCAGCTGGGCAGCCACCAAGTCATCAAGGTCAAAGCCCTGAGAATCGTGGGCAGGTCCGGGTGGGGGGCGGTGGCCATGCTCTGCTCTGACCCCCACTGCCGCCCCCTCTAACGGGGTTCCGGCTGCTGGTGTAGCCGGGCTGCACCCAGGGGGTCAGCACCTGGGCCAGGGCATGAGTATTAAAACCTGGCCAGGATCTCACCTATGTGTTTGGTGGTTAACTGAGAGCTTGGGGGAAGCCCCGGCCCGTGGGAGGGAATTGGAGGGAGGAGCTGGAGACAGACTCTGGGGTCAGCAGCCCAGGCTGGAGTCCCAGCTCTGGCTCCCACTGCTTGGACCATGGACCAGCCCCTGCTCTCTGAGCGAGTCTGCCTCTGTCGAATGGGCCAGAGCTGTGTCAGTGACATCCCAGCCTCCACAAGCACCCAATAAATGGCACTCTCAGGACAACTGTCATGGTAGGTGTTCTCTGAGGCTCCACATGACACCCTTCCCCTGAGTGGTTTTTGCAGGATGGTCACCCTGCAGAAATATTCTTACCCTCCTCATCTTCACGGGGGCCTTGCTTAACCCTCAAAGCCAAACCCTACTCCTTTGAAGGCACATCCTGTCTCCTCTCCCACTGTCACCTAGTTTGCCTAGGCCAGACCCTCTTTGGTCAACAGCTTGGGGAGTCCAGTGGTTCCCCAACGTCCCTTTCATCGCCATAATGAAATCCTGTATCTTTGTGCCATTTCGTATCTGATCTGAATTGCATTCCCGTCTGAGGATGAGCAAGGCTGAGTACTGAGTGTGGCTGGATGCTGGTGGGGACGGACTATGTTGCAAGGAGCCCCATGTTCTGAGTGGGCAGTTCATGTGTCTCTGACGTGGCCACTCCGGCTCGCCCGTTCTGGTGTTGAACCCGTGGGCCGTGAAGACTTGGAGTGCGTGTCAGTCTCCCCGTTAGACCTTGTGCACTCCCACCCAGACATGGGGTCTCAGCAGGGCCCAGCACAGGGCCTGGTGGTAGAGCCAGCCTTCAATAAACACTCATTAAGTTGAATTAAACGATGAAGAAGTGGCAAGGGACCCACGGGTTCCGAATCGGGTCCTGGCTGACTGCAGAACCTGAACTTTCTGCAGCTGCAGCGAGCTGTTGGGAGGCCAATCCGAAGTTTGGTACAGAAGATCTAAGGCCCTGGGGTCCAGGACATCTCTGGCTGGGCCAGAATGGGAGAACCTGGTTTGGCTTCAGTTTATGCCAATAAACTTGGGCTGAGGTCAGAGGCAGAGCAGGAAGGGAGGGACCCCAGAGCATGCAGGCCCTCAGATGGCCCGAGCTGCTAGGAGCATAGTGTCCAGGACCTGGGAAGGGGCAGTCTGCCCCACTCTGCACTGTCCCTGAACACAGAGAGTGGGCGTTTGGCTCTGGCTCTCCATTGGACAAGTGACAGTGATGGACAGGAACACAGAGAGGGAGAGCATGGGAGGGTCTGCTAATTAAGGGATAGTAGATCTATGAAGGTTTGGAGAACAGACCTGGGTCCTACTCCCAAGTCTGTCCTGGATTCCCCATGTGGTCTGGATTCACTACAGCTTCATCACTGCCACCATATTTATCACCACTATCACCATCACCCCCATCATCATCATCATCATCATCACAACCATCACCATCATACCACCATCATCATCACCAGCATCATCACCACCACCACCACCACTATCACCATCACCCTCATCATTATCATCATCATCATCACAACCATCTCCACCATACCACCACCATCACCACCACCATCACCATCATCACCACCACCACAATCATCTCCACCACCAATTCTACCATTGCCGTCACCCTCGTCTCACATCTATCATGCTCTGGGTTAAAGTCAGACATCCCAAAAGTATTTACCAATCCTGAGATTGTAGTATTCTAGGATTCTGAATATCTAACCACCATGCCAAGTTGAATTTCTTCACAAACATTCTAAATACTAGAACTTGAACCAAGATTTGACATTTTAGAAAACACTTTTAAATCTAATCTTCTAACAAATGTTCTAACCATATTTGTAATAGCCTAATATTCTTGTTAAAAAGTTAGTATAAACTACAAATATTCCATTGAAATTATGTTAACATTCTAGCAACAACATATTCACAAAAATTTTACCAAAATTTTAGAATAATAACATCCTATTATTTACCACTTATTTTTATATCTAATATACATACAAACATTCTAATAGAGTTTCATAATGTTTAACCAATATCCTAACATGCAAAGAAACACTATCCTCACTGTCCTTGCAACATAATTTTCTATCAGGCTTCCCAACTCTCCCTCCATCACCCACGTCGTATCTGCCTCTGATGACCAGGTGCTGAGTCAGAGCTTCCAATAGGACTTTCTGAGAGAACAGAAGCGTCCCTATCTGCGCCGTCCAAGGCAGCCACTGGCCACGTGTGGCTCTGAGCACTTGAAATGTGGTTAGTGCAGCTGAGGAACGAAATTTAAAATGTACTTAATTAAATTAAGTTTAAACGGCTCGGTGTGGCTACTGGCTACGATATTTGGCGATGATGCTCTAAGTCTTTCCAGAAGTTTCCACCTGAGCAGCCCGGGCTGACCCAGGCCCTCCATCTCAGAGATCCCACCCACCACCTTGCCTTTCCCTGAGAGCCTCTTGATCACCCTGCACAGCTCATGGTCTGGTGTCGAAAGTGACAGCCACCTCCCTGAACCTGTAAGGCTGCCCCTGGAACGGGGGCAGAGAGCAGGCAGAGTGGGGCCCCCGGGGAGGTCCTCCCACGGGACAGGAGCCCTGGGTTCCAGACCCAGCCTGGCCCTTCCCAGCTCTGCCCTACACACGGTGAGGGTGGCCCAAACACCTCTTCAAGCCTAGGGGTTGGTCCAGGTGACCTTGAAGGTCCTCCCAGCTCTGAAGTTCAGTTGGTCTTGAATCAAACACTGGGGGACCAGGGTCTGGCATGGAGAGCACCCAGCTGGGCTGAAGCAGCAGTGAGGAGGCCCATGCGGGGAGGACAGGGCAGAGGAAGAGAGGAGAGGAGGCTGGCAGCCACGTGGGTCCTGGGACAAGCAGTGGGGTCTGAGCTTGGAGCGGAGCTGGTCTCTGTCCTGTGATGGTCTTCACGCCTCCCTTCCTGCCCCTGGCTGTGGTCTGCTCAAAGGCAATCAAACTGCATAATAGGGTCCACGTGTGGGGGACCCAAAGGAGTGGGGCTCAGGAGTGTGGAAGTGCTCAGAGATGGGGCGCCTGGAGCATGGGAGGAGGGGCACACGCAAAGGTGGGAAGCGGGCTCCGGGAACAGGTGACCTGCAGTGACGGCTGCCTCCACTCGCTGCTACAGGAGGTCTCAAAGCATCTCACGCTGGCGGAGCTGACCGACCTCGTCTCGACGGCCGTCGAAGGCCTGGGCTCCAGCAGCCCCTTCCGCGTGCAGGCGGCCACCAACATGCTGCTCGCTGTCATCCAGGAGCACGGGGCCAAGCTGGAGACCGTGAGGGGGATGGGGAACCCGGCGAGGGCCAACCAGGACGGGGCCGGGGGCTGAGGGGTGGCCCGGCAGTGGAACTCAAGGGCTAGGGCCTCTGGGCCAAGATGCTGGCCCTGAGCTTGAGCCTGGTGGGGAGACACCCCACCCCAACAGGTTATACGGAAGGAAAGCAGGAGGGAGGGAAGGGCCCAAGCAGGTGTGCTGGGCCAGGGTGCATTCAGGGGTCAAGCAGCGCACGCTGATGGGGGAGAAGGGGCGTGGCCAGGACCCTCCAGGAGCTTTTCGTCTGTCGAAGGGGACACACCCCAGACAAGTAAGGGCTGGACAGCACAGGAAATGCAAAGGCAAAGCAGTGTGTCCCGTGGGGCAGTGCCCCCCAGAAAGAGGGTGACTAGGGCCAGGTCCTGCAACAAAACCCCACGTGGGCGATGTGGGGCTGGGCACAGAAGTGTGAGGAGGAGACACCCAGGAGTGGGGGAGGGGCACCCAGGAGTGGGGGCGGGGCACCCAGGAGTGGGGGAGGGACACCCAGGAGTGGGGGAGGGGCATTCCAGGCACAGCGACCAGCATGTGCCAGTGTGGCGTGTTCAGGAGACGCCGAGGTGGGTATGTCTGACCCTTCCAGTGACTGGCAACATTTAGACAGAGTTGGCAGACCTCAAATACCTTGCGAAAGGTAGTGGGACTGCCTCCCTCTCAGATGGGGACTCCCCTTTTCCAACGAGGTGTCCAGGGCAGGCCTGTGTCTCCCCTCACCTCCCCGCTCAGGAGAGGACCGTATCTAAAGGGCCCCATGTCTCCCTGGGCAGGGCCTCCCACCCCCGTAGGTTCGCCAGGGCAGGCCGGCCTCCGGCTCAGATGGCCCTCTCCCCACACCCCCTCCTGCACAGGCTGCCAACCTGGGCCGGGCCATCCACCTGCAGCTCTCCTCTGTCCGCATCCCCCAAGCCAGGAGAGATGCCCTGCACACCATCACCCTGCTGGCCCGGAACCACGCCCCCGAGCTGGTGGCTGCCTTTCTGGACTTCTCCATGCCCATGGACAGGTGCCCAGCCCACCCCATCCACCCCCAGCTCTGCCCTCCTGCCCATCCCCCCCCAGTCCAGGAGGACCCCCACTGCTGGGTGCAGGGAGGGAGTCCGTGGACCTGCTCAGGTACTGTGCGCCCCCTAGGGTGGGCCTGGGGAAGCTCTGCCCACCTCTCACCCTATTGGTGCTCCGCGTGAGATAAGCCCCTCCCACCTCAGCCGAGTCACTTCGAAGAGAGGGCCCCTGACCATCCCCCAAACACACTGGAGCCTCCTTCCTTCCTGCTCCACCAAGGAACCCTTCTCCTCCCTGCTCCCCAGGAGCCACCACAGCCTTCAAACCCAAGTCTAGAGGTGGGTTGGGGTCCTCTCCCTCCCTCAGATCTCAGCTCAGAACCACAGGCCATCAGTCTGTGCTACCTGCTGCCCACCCACCATGCTCCTGCGGTGGTGCTTGCCCATGGAGGGCCGGGCCACAGGCGCCTCGCTCGCTCCCCCTGGGTCTGAGGGACGTCACTCTCTCCCTCGCCCTGGCTTCTCTGCACCCGGTCTCCTCTCCCCCGACCCTGTCCTCCCTGTTCCCTCCGCCACCCACTCCCACAGTCACCCTCCACTCAGTCATCTCCGGTCCCAGCACCCCTGCCACTTCCAAACAGTCACCTTCACAGCTCAATCCCTGGCACCCCAAAGAGCCCCCGTCCTCCACAACCTCCAGTCCACTGCCCCACCCACCTTCTCAGGCTCCCTCCCCCGTCCTCGTCCCCCTCCTTACCAGCCTGAATTCCATCTCCCAGTGTCGTGATCACCTCTGAGCACACCCCAGTCCCTTGTCCCCCCAGTCATATTCAACGGCAAAACCCCACTCTGGGTAAACCTGGTTCCACCCACTTCACACCTGCACCTGCGCAGTCACAGCCGCATGCAGGAAAAAGTACACACCTCTGTGAGAGTGGTGGCACTGCCCAGGCCGCCCACACCTCTGCCCCGCCCCTCCCCTCTGTCCAGGCCCTGCCCTCTGCCCCGCCCCACCCCTGCCCCGCCCATCCCCTCTGCCCAGGCCCTGCCCTCTGCCCCGCCCCACCCCCTGCCCCGCCCAGCCCCTCTGCCAGCCCCACCCCTGCCCCGCCCATCCCCTCTGCCCAGGCCCTGTCCTCTGCCCCGCCCCACCCCCTGCCCCGCCCATCCCCTCTGCCCAGCCCCTCCCCTCTGTCCAGGCCCTGCCCTCTGCCCCACCCCACCCCTGCCCTGCCCATCCCCTCTGCCCAGCCCCTCCCCTCTGCCCAGCCCCTCACCTCTGCCCCGCCCCACACCTCTGCCCAGCCCCTGCCCTCTGCCCAGCCCCTGCCCTCTGCCCTGCCCCTCCCCTCTGCCCTGCCCCACACCTCTGCCCAGCCCCTCCCCTCTGCCCTGCCCCACACCTCTGCCCAGCCCCTGCTCTCTGCCCAGCCCCACACGCAGCTGCCCACGTTGCTGGTTTTTGTTAGTAGTTTCTAGTTTTATCACATTATGTTCTCAGAATGTCATCTGTAGCATTTCTGCTTTATGAAATTTACAGACCTCTTAAACAGTTTTTGAGATGTTCTCTGGGCGCCTGAGAAGGTGTGTAGATGTATAGCCACAAGATGCCCCTTGGCTGTGTTGTCTAGGTCTTCTGTATCCTTGTCTGCTCTCAGGGTACCTGCCTCTGCCTTCCTTTCAGAACCCATCGTGTGACATGTCACCTGCCACATAGCATAGGGTTTAGCCTTGATTTGTGATCCAAATTTAAAACCTTCTTTCTTTTCATCAGTAAGTCAGTTCCAATAAATAGTTATTGATACGACTGATAGGTTGAGTCTCAACTCCGCCGTAACATCTTGTAATTGTGTGTTGTGTTACATTTGCTACATTTCTTTTTCTACAAGATGTGTATTCTTTGATCTTTAGGGTGTTTGTTTGTTTTTTAATTTAGAAAAGGTTGTATTTTTGTTCTAGATGTTATCTTTGTACTTCTAACCTATTTTAATTACCACAGTCTCTTGGTTTTTCCATTTTTTAAAAATGTTTTTTCTTTATTGATTTTAAAGAGAGAGGAAGGAAAAGGGTAGAGACAGATAGAAGCATCGATGAGAGAACATCAATTGGCCGCCTCCTGCATGCCCCACTCTGGGGATCGGGCCCACAACATGGGCATGTGCCCTGACCAAGAATTGAACTGGCGACCTCTTGGTGCATGGGTCAACGCTCAACCTCTGAGCCACACCAGCTGGGCTGGTTTTTCCATTTGTATTGATATTCTTTAACTCCCACCCATTGTCCATATAACCATTTGTGAAATTACTCTATCTTCCTTTTTCTGACTCTCATATCCTCCCATTTTTTTCAGTTGAAAGTTTATGCTTTACTATTGTGTCCATGCACTCACCCCCAGTCCCTTTGCCAAAGTCATCTGGTCATCTCTTAGCTGGATGAAACTTATCTTCAGACAGATTACTCAGGAAGGATTCGTGGCTTCAGAACCCTGCCAGGTTCTTCATGTTGAAAGTTGTTTCTGTGGAGGACAGCTCGTCTGGATATAAAACCCTTGGTTCACACTTTCTTTTATTGAGTGTTTCGTAAATGTTTGCCTTTGTAAGTTATATGCGCTTCTTGCAGCTGTTTTTCCTTTGTCTTTGAAATCCAATAGTTATACTAAGAAATGCCTAACCTAGCCGGTGTGGTTCAATGGATGGAGCATCGTCCCATGCCTGAGAGGTCCCAGTTCAATTCCCAGTCAGGGCACATGCCCGGGTTGCAGGCTCCATCCCCAGTAGGGGGCGTGCAGGAGGCAGCCAGTCCATGTTTCTCTCTCACATCGATGTTTCTCTCTCTCTCTCTCTTCTTCACTCTAAAAAAATCAATAAAAACACATTTAAAAAATTGTCTCAGAGTTGATTATTAATTTTCCCAGGTCCTGGTGGGTTCCTTGAATAAGAAGATTTAAGCATTTTATTGTTGTTGTTGCTTCTGACAAGTTCTCTTGGTCACAATTTTAAATATTGGTTCAGTTCCACCGCTGTTTTTCTTCTTCGGAGAGTCCAGTAATCCAAATGCTATTCCTGCCTTACCTGTTTCATTCCCACTACTTTCTCTCTGATCCTTTTGACTTCTTAAATTCACTTGCATTCTCGTGATTATTTTACTGCTTTTCCTCAATGCCCCTTATTAAATTTTCATTTGGGTCTTATCTCTCTTGAGCACCTTGTATTTTTTTTTTCTTTTAATTTCTGAGATAATTTTGTCATTTCTTCCATCTCTTTCCTGAATTCAATCAACTCTCTCTTTCTTCTTATGACAGGCTTTTTGTGTGTCCTGTTTAAAATGTCTCATGCGAGGGGGTGTTCGTATCTGCCCGAGCTCGCCCTAGTGCGTCTGCTGCGCTTCCTGCATCGAGGTGGTTTGCAGGGAGAGTTCCCTCGTCCGATGTGTTGATTTCGTCTCCTGATTTCTCTGCAATTACTCGATGGATCTGTTCATTTTGTTCTTGTTCATATAAAACACTATTGGAGCTTTTTCTAGGATTTCAAGTTCAATGGCACCCTCTCCTGTCAGTACAGCAAAATCCAGACCACTCGGTAGATTTTCTGGCTCGGCGGTGGGTAAAAGGGTCACATGCCCCCCAGTGTTCTGGGGTCTCCTCTCTTTCACCGCTTAATTCCCAAAGGGGGCGTCTTCACATTGCCTTTTTTTGGTCCCCAAAGCTGTGCCCGTTGAAGAGCGCCCTTCTAACGGGACTGCCCTTCGTCTCTTTCCTCCACACCCTGCGCTGGCCTCGCGCTGGGCCGGGCATGCGCGCTGGGGCTGGCGTTCTGCTTTTAAGTGCACGGTAACGTCGGGGTTCAGGTGCTCCCTGAGGTCACAGTTTTGAGTCTTCTCACCTAACCCTTCTTCTTGCGCTGTGTTGTTTCTCCAGGAAATTCTGAGAGGGGGGAGGTCAGGCCACCACCACGGTCTTCCGCTGGCCAGAACGTGTCATTTGAGTTTTCTCTGTGTCGGAATTTGTTTCTGGCTTCCTTGGTTCTCGGAGCATTTTCCACGGTTCAGCGTCCATGAACTGGGGGCGTGTGCAACGTGGGTGGTGCCTCATACCTGCTCTCGGTGGCTTCTCGGGCACCTGGGGGCACGAGCAGCCTAGGACATTTCAAATTTCAACTCTCTGCTTGAGTCTCCTGGGGCCACGCTGGTGGTGTGAATCAGACCCCGAAACAGATTTGGTGACTCAGATTCTCAGGGGACCCGGTCCGCGTCCCCCCAGGGTGCTGGTTGAGGCGCGGTGTTCTCGCGTCTCTCTGCACGACAGAGGGGGCCCCAGCTCGAGGGTCATTTTTCTTTCTTGGAAGTACAGGAAACAATTCGGAGGTCCTAGAAGGGTCAACAGAAGTTGTGTCGTTGGCATTCTTCCAGTGTCCTTTTATCTGGCTTTCTTCTTTCTCAACACTGTGTGTGAGGGTCATCCTCACATGGGACGTGGAGTTGAAGCAAGGCCCCCACCCCTGGGCTGCACGCTGTCCCCTCGCAGCCTCAGTCCGTGCCCACATCCCCTCCTGCTGGCTCTCCCCAACTGCCCCACTTAGACCTGGCAGCTCCAGACGCCCTCCCTGCCCTGCTGTCCACCCTCAGCGCCTCCTGTGCCCTGTCTGCTGCCATGTCGGATGGTAGGGGCCACGCCACACTCAGGGATTTTTGCTGGGTCTGTCCCTGCGGGTCCTCTGGGAGGTTGCCGGTATGTAACAGTGCTTAGCACGCAAACTGCCTGGTGATAGATGCCCACAGGGAATAAAACAGGAACCTTGGACCCCTGGGCACCCTTGCTCCCAGAGAATCATCTCCTGTAAGCCTCTGGGGGTGGGCTTTGCCCCTAAAGAGGTGAGGTGACTTGCCCAAGGTCACACAGCCAGCACGGGGCAGAGAGGGGATTTGAGCCCAGGCTCTTCTGACTCCAGAGGGCCCACTCATTCCAGATGGACAGTGACCACACTTGGGAGTCCCCCAGAGTCCTCTGAGCTCTGTGCCCACCCAGCCCAGGGAAAATGGGACAGGTGTGGCTTCCCCAGGGCTCAAGGGTGCCCCCACTTGGGTCTATCCTAAAGCTTGGGAGTCGGAGCGCATCCAGTCCACCACTATGGCCCTCCCAGTCCCCACCCATCATTCCAGAGTCTCTCCTACCCCTCCAGCCCCTTCCACCCAGCACTCAGGCCCAAAGGCCACCTTGCACAGAAAACAGAGGCCGTCACCGTCACCTACATCTCAGGAGCCCAACGCCCCTGCCTCCCAGGGTCTCACAGCGTCACGCTTGTGGACCCGATGGAAGGGCCATAGGACCATGCAGGCCTGGCCTCCAGTCCCAGCTCCCCAGTTACAAGGCAGAGCCCTGATCAGGGCACATCCTTTCTCTCTCCAGTCCTCAGTTCCCCACCTGCAAAATGGGCCCAAGGACACTGCAATGCTCTGCACATACCGCTGACGGCCACTGGCCTGACCTGGGTGGGGCCTGGGAGAGCTGGACCCCGGCCAACCCAGGCCTGGGAGGAAGTAGCCAGGGCAGGCTTCCGGGCGGAAGGGACTCCATGGCGAGCCCCAAAGGCAGAGTGGAAATAGGCCAGCAAGGGGGCGTGACCAGGCACCGGGAACGAGTGGAGGCCAGAGGCAGGAGAAGAGGGAGGACAGGCGGGGGCTGGAGGTCAGCGTGACGGCTCCGAGGGCCGGCTGGACTTGTTCTGCCAGCACTCGGGAGCTTCGGAAGGTGACAGACAGAGTCAGAGTCTGCAGCTGGGTGAGAGGGGCCTGGAGGAGAGGTCCTGAAAGTGGGGAGACCCAGGAACAGGGACAAGGGCATCTCCCATGTGCCCCCAGCCACACCACTCCGGCACCTGAGGCCCCGGTCCTGGTGGCACCTGGCTGAGGCCTCACAGCCCTTCTCTGCCCACAGCCGCACCTTCCAGCTGTGGAGGGCCCTGGGGGCCGAGCAGCACGTGAGCCGCCTGGTGCTGGCCACGCTGCTGGCGTGGCTGCAGGAGAGGCCCCTGCCCGTCGGGACCAGCCGCAGCGGCCCCCCACCCCAGGACAGGACCTGCCGGCACTCCTTGGCTGTGAGTCTCCGCCGCCCAGAGGCCGCCAGCCACCACGTGGCTTCCTGCGGGCATTCGGGCAGACATCAGCAGTGTCTGGGCATCCACCACGTGCCAGGTCCCGGGGAGGGGAGGCGCCCAGCCCTGCCCAGCCCGGCTTGGAGGAGGGGGCCCCTGGGCCACCCAGCTGGAGCTGACTGCACGGGCACCCTAGGCCAGGCCCAGCTCCCGCTTCCTGGCCGAGGACCTGGGCCCTCCAGAGCCCATTCCCGCTCCGTGAAGTGGCCGTGGTGGCCCTGCAGGGCTGGGGAGGGCCCTCGAGCAGTGTGTAGACGCGGAACTCGGGGCGCGCTGTGCAAACAGTGTGGGGCAGAGAGGCAGAGCAGTGGGGGTGGGGGTGGGCTCTGGGGTTGCAGATTCTGGAGGAATCTTAGAGGCTGGCTCCTGCAGCACCCCGCCCCCGTAGGAATCTGCCCAGCCCCCAGCTTTGCCCATGAGCCCAGGCCCTGCTTGCACAGCCCCAGGAGCGGGGAGCTCACCTCCCAACATGGCCACACCTGTCCTTGGCTGGACTCTGATGAGGCAGCTGCCAGCCGTGCCCGGCCCTGGTCTTGCTGAGCCCTCCCCCTGCCCCCAAGGCCGCTGAGCAGCAGCCCAGAGCACACAGCGCTCCTCCCACCTGAACAGGCCGCTGAGCAGCAGGGGGTCGAGAGCTGACCGCAGTGGCCGAGGGAAGTCCCATCCTGTCCCCAGTGCCCCCCAGCCCCTTGCTGGTGCCAGCTTCCCCGTGGACACCAAACAGCAGCGCGGGCCTGCGGGCAGCCTTTCCCACACCCTGCCCTGCCCCTGCCCCTGCCCCTGCCCTTCCTTGTTATGGCTGCTCAATCCCACCCCGAGCACACTCTGGACCGAATGCTCGTAGGCATGGGAGGCAGTAGCCATGTGAGCTGACGGAGCCAGGCCCACGGGAGGGACAGCCCAGGGGCATCCGCTGGAGAGCAGGGAGGGGAGGTGTGGCCGGAGGCGGGTTTGCTGGACGGGTGCTCAGCAGGCCCAGCCCCAGGCCCTCGGACTCGGGTGTGTCACTGTCCCCTGCCCCCCCGACAGGCCATGAACACACTGCACAAGCTACAGTACGCGCAAGAGTTCAAGAGGACGGTGCTGGAGGCCTACCCCCAGCTCCTCCTGGCCCTCCTCAGCCAGGTGCACTACGTCCTGGAGCTGCACCTGCCCACAGAGCCCCAGCCCGACCAGCAGGCCCAGGAGCCGGGGGCGCCCAGCCCCCAGAGGTACGCTGCCTGCAGGACCTGCCGTGGCCAGTGTGGTATCCACTTCCCGCGGCCGAGTAACTCAGTGCCACCGTCGGGAGGCTTCAAGCAACAGGCCGCCTTCTGTGTTCCAGGGACTGGAAGTCCAAGGTGTGCGCAGGGCTCCCTCTGGAAGCTGCAGGAGGCTCCTTCCGCCTCGTCCAGCCCTGGCAGCTCCCGGCCACCCACGTGGCCCTGGCGTGGCCCTGGCGTGGCTCTGGCGTGCAGACGCTCACTTTCCTCCCTGCTGCCGTGACCACGGGCACTTTCCCATTTCTCTGTCCCAATGTTCCTCTTCTTTTTTTTTATCCTCACCTGAGGACATTTTTTCATTTTTGTTCAGATAGAGCAGGAGGGAGAGAGAGGAAGAGAGAGAGAGAAACATCGACGTGAAAGGGACACATCGAGTGGCTGCCACCCCCATGACCCAACCCGGGCAGGGGACAAACTGCAACCGAGTATGCACCCTTAGCGGGAACCGAACCCAGGTCTCTCTGGACCGCAGGCCAATACTCTAACCGCTGAGCCAAACCAGCCAGGGCGTATATCTCTCTTCTTATAAGGACACCCATCATGATGGATTGGGGCCACTTTAATGACCTCATCCCAATGCGAGTCCATCTGCAAAGACCCTATTTCCAAATAAGGCCACCTTCCCAGGTGCCAAGGGCTAGGACTTTTGTTGTTGTTGTTAGTCCTCACCCAAGGATATTTTTCCATTGGTTTTTAGATAGAGTGGAAGGGAGGGAGGCAGGGAGGGGGAAACATCGAGGTGAGAGAGACACATCGATTGGTTGCCTCCCGCACGCGCCCCAACCAGGGCCGGGGATCAAACCTGCAACCCAGGAAGGTGCCCTCGATGAGGAATTGAACCTGGGACCCTTCAGTGGGTGGGGTGGCGCTCTAACCACGGAGCCACACTGGCCAGGACTTGCGCTAGGACTTTGGCTAATTTCTGGGAGGACATAATTCAACCCTCCACACCCCATCTGTGGCTGGCGCAGTGGTCCCATTGCCGTCACCAAGGGTGCTCAGCAGCAGGGACACTGCGGGCACGTGGGACTCACGGGGTGGCGCCACATTTGCCACGTCTTCCCTGACTGTGGTCCTTGCAGGGATTCTGTGAGACCAATGTGTCTCCCCACTTTACAGATGAGGAAACTGAGGCTCCGCGAGGTGCGAAGCTCCCTGAGCCCCACAGACTATCTGTGCATTCCTGAGCTAGAGTCCACAGATGGCAGGGGCCCCCCTGGCTCCGCCCTTCTGGGCCCCCCATGCACGGCACCGCCCCAGGCCAGTTGTATGCCGATGGCACGGATGGTCCCTGCTCTCCGCCCTGCCGTGGGCATGGAGGGACGCGTGGGAGGGCCGGGTGGGGCCTGCTGCGCTCACCGAGGCGCGGGGCGGGGCTGGCGGCCTCAGCTCCCTGCGCCACATCGCGTCTTCAGAAATCCAATAAGCGAGTCTCTAAAACCGCGGGGGCTGACTCTTTTCATTTGTTTGTGTTACGATGTGCTTCACGCAATTTGTCAGTGTTAACAGCTCTCCCCAAGGCACGGCACTGAAAAAAATGTCGCTTCTCCTCGCATTGCTTCTGAATTCGAATGTGCATCAAGTTCCTTTTTTAGTCAGATCAGCCGTGCAAAATGCATGAATCTTCCCTAATAAGCTAATAAAACAGCCTCCTCCCGGAACGCGGGGGGTGGAGGAAGCGGCCACGCACAGCCTCAGCCCCTCCGCTTCCACCCACGGGAGGCTGGACGCCAGGCCGCTCTCCCCAGAGCCGGGCAGGCGCCCTGAGAACGCCCAAATCAGGCCGCACCGCCTTTCCGGAAGCCCCGCTGTGGCTGTGGGGACAGGCGATCAGGAGAGTTGTCACGGGGGAGGGGGGGACGACAAAATGCCGCTCTGCCCCGAAGGCCCCTCCTCCTGAAACCATCCTTCCCCGGGCTGAGACCAATGACCTGAAAATCGTGCCTCTTTTCCGCGCCGTGGCTTGGAGCAAGATGACAAGCCAGCTGGCATTTGGGTTGGCACCACCGGGGACTTCCGGGGAGCAGCGTTCGTCCTTGACACTTGGTTTTGCAAGTCTGCGCAGAACGCCTGGGCAGAGCTGACAGCCTCGTTCACTAGGACCAGGCGCGGGTTGGCCAGGACGAGCGATGGGCACAGAAGGGGCGCCCCGCCTATGTGGGCCAGTGTCCCCGGGCCTTGCACCTGTGTCCTCCTGCAGGACCTGGGCCCGTGCCACGGCATCCCAGTGCGGGCTTGGAGCCAGGGGTCTGCTGCCCCGCCTGGGCTGAGTGACCAGGACGGACGGAGTGTGTCCTCTCGGGCCTGCCTCCTGTAGGGAGTGTGGCCGAGAGGCTGGTGCCGGGTCGGTGACCAGCACTCGGTCACCAAGCTTCACGTCCGGCGCTCGGCCACACATGGGCACTGGTCCGTGGAACGCAGCTTCTCCGGGGCTCTCCTCTCCCTCCCGCTCTGCCCTCTCTGTACTCAGCCCTACGTTTAAAGGGCACCGTCCCCCCAGGCTCCGCTGAGACCCCCTCCACCTGTGACTCGGAAAACTGGCGTTTGTGTTAACGAGGGCGGAAATAAGCTGGGCGGCTGGGCACCTCCCCACGGGCAGGACTGGCTCCGTGACCCCTCTGCTCCCCTGCAGCATCTCACTGGGGGCCCTGAAGAGCCTGCTGTCCACCACGGGGCACTGGCGGGACTTCGCCCACCTGGAGCTGCAGGGCGCCTGGGACCTCTTCACCACCATGGACACCTACCCACAGGGTGTGGGTCTCCTGGCCAGGTAGGGGTGGGGCTGGGCAGGGGAGGGCTGATGGGCAGCAGTGACCCCAGGGCCAGCCTGTGAGAAGAGCTCCGTGGACTCATGGAGTCTACATACACCCGTGGGCACGAAAAGCAAGTGCCCCTGTGCCCAGTCACACCCATGCTCTGGGCACCTACGGTCACAGGTATCTCCCTGGACCCTCCCCAGCCCGAGGCCTTTTAGGGGACAAGGGCCGTGCCTGCTCCTCTCTCCCACACCCAGCCCAGACCTGGCACCCAGTGGCTACAGGGCTGGGCCCTGGCAGGAAGGTGGGCACAGGGCTTTCTCGTGAGCCCAGGCCCTGCCCTCCCCTCCCCTCCCCAGGGCCATGGTGCAGAGCCCCTGTGGGCAGATCAAGGCAGTGGCCCTTCGGCTGCTGCCCAGCCTGCAGAGCTCGGAGCAGCGGGAGAGGAAGGTGGCCATCCTCATCCTCAATGAGGTGGGTCCTGGGCAGGGCAGGGCCCTCAGAGATGGCTGCCGCCTGCCTCCACCTGCCCTCATGCCCATCAGGACCACACCAGGGCCTCACCCATGAGGGGCAGCCCTCCTTCCTGCCCTGGGCTCCCGGCTGGACCCCACCTCTCAGGCCCCCGCAGCCCCTCCCTCCCTGGCCTCAGCCCTCCAAGGGGTTCACAGTGTAGGTCAGGCTCACCTGGCTTGAAATTCAGCCCGTCCTCTCTGGAAGGACCGAGGCTGGACGGTGGTGGCTAGAAGCAGACCGGCGCAGGACGTGGCTGCCTTTGCAGCTATGAGCGGGGCGGGGAAGTAGGGGCAGGGGTCGGGTGTCATTTCTATAAGGACCTTGGTAGGGAGAAACCCAAATCAAAGCCTGGTGCCATTCCCCACCCCACCCTGCTAGCAGGAATGTCTGGGTCGCCCTCCATGGAGCTCTGTCCCCAGGGGCCTCCTGAGCCAGGCTGGGGAGGGACATTGGCCCCAGCCTTGCTGGGGGGCCTCAGGCCAGGCCCTTTCTCCCGAGCCTCAGCGTCCCCAGCTATTCACTGCAGAGTGGAACCAGCTTGCCGGTGGGTTTCAAATGCTTGTTAACCAAGACACCCAGAGGGTGCTGGTCAACCAACCCCCCGACCCTGAAACTCCCACCAGCCCCTGGTCCCAGGGCCCTGCTCCTGGGCAAGACCGGGCCAGGCCTGACCTGCCTGCCCTTGGGGGCCACCCCAGTTCCTCTACAGCCCCACCCTGCTGGAGGTGCTGTCCGAACAGGACGCCCTGTCCGTGCTGGCCCAGAGCCTCAGGGACCCCAGCCCCGAGGTCCAGGTGCTCAGCCTGCAGGGCCTGAGGAACATCCTCTTCCACCCAGAGAAGGTGAGGGCACGGGAGCTGAGGTGGCCACACCCGAGCGGCTGGGTCATGAGGTGTGGACAAGCCCACAGGGTTCCAACTCCAGCTCTGTCCCTTCCGGCCATGTGGTTAGGAACAAGTGACTTTACTTCTCTGGGCCTCGGTTTCCTCATCTGTAGAATGGGCCCAGCATGGCCTCTTGGCAGGGTCGTGAGAGCAGTGACGGACTCCATCCCTGTCTCCTCCACGTCCCGGAGGGATTCGGGGGCAGTGCGGGCGCCCCGGCCAGGCTGGGGGTCCGGGGAGGGATGTTGCAGGGAGAACCTGGGTTTGTTCTGGGTCCAGCCAGCAGGGTAGAGGGAGGGGCACAGGGGCAGACGGGCCTGGCAGGGCAATTAAGCAAGAACAAGAAGTGACGGTCTCGGCCTGCACCCCAGGGAAGGCTGCTCCGGGGACAGCTGCCGCCCTTCCTCAGTGGCTTCTTCCAGAACAGCGAGCCGGTGGTGGTGCGCGTCATGGGTGCGGTGTCCGACGTGCTGCACCGCCTGGGAGCACATGGCGCGGGGGCCCAGAGCCTCGCTGTCGCCATCAACGCCCGCGCCTTCTTCGACGACGTGAGTGTGCCCACGGCGGGGGCAGGGCGCCCCCTGCCCATGCCCTCCCGGCCAGGTTCCTCCAGGGCAGGGAGAACATGGAGGCTCAGGAGCCCCCCCAGGTGTGCCCCGGCTCAGGTGGGCGGCCGGCGCTTGGCCCTTCTCCACATGGCTGAGCCAGAGCTGAGCTCCAATCTCCAACCCCACCAGCTCCTCCCCTTCCTGAGGGGTCTTCGTGTTTACAAGGGCTGTCTTCCCTTCACTGGGCAATGAGGAGCTAAGTCCCGCCCCACAGCGCCCTGCCCCAGGAGCCCCCCAGGAGCCCTGTCTGAGCGGGAGGCGGGGCCCTGCCCTGGGAGCCCCAGGCCTGGGTGAAAGCATCCTGCTGAGGGAACTGAGCCCCATCCCCACCACAGGGTGCGGAGGTCCCAAGCTGGGTGGAGGCAGGGACTCCAGAAAGGTCTGGCTGTGACTGCGCCCCTGGCTTGCAGGAGCGGGACGGGATCCGGGCGGCATCCATGGCACTGTTCGGGGACCTGGTGGCAGCAATGGCAGGCAAGGAGCCCAGTAGCCTTCGAACCCAAGTACACCAGAGCATGGTGCCCCTGCTCCTGCATCTGAAGGACCCCTGTCCTGCCGTCGTCACGGTCAGTGCCTGCTGGCGGGCCTTTGCTCTGGCCAGGCTAGGGACCCACAAGTGGCTAGGGGTCACGGGGGGGGGTCTGCAGAGGGATGGGTCCCCCTGGGACAGCAGGTCTGGCTCCTGCATTGGTTTTCATCTCCACAGTCAGCCTCCCTCCCGTGCACACACACACACACACATATACACACACATACACAAGCACACGATCATCTACCCTCCCCATGTGCACACACACACACATACACACACGCATACACATACATACACACGTGCACACATACACACACGTGCGCACACACATACACATACACATGCACACATACACGTGTGTACACATACACACATGCGCACATATATACACACATGCAAGCACACGATCATCTGCTCCCTGTGTGCACACACATGCACACACACATGTACACATGCAGCTGTGCCTTCTGTGCCATCAGGACCCAGTTTGTTCTGCCCACTGCTGTGTCCCCAGCACCTGACACATGGTGGGCGCTCAGGTTGTTCATCAAACCTGTTGAAATATGGATTGAGCCCTACCGTGTGCCAGTCCTACTGTGTGCCAGCCCTACTGCTCCCAGACCGTTACGGCATAGCCCAGCCGTCCAGGAGTCCCAGCCACGGGGAGGTGGACAGGAAGCAGCCAGCTCCAAAGCAAACAGGACAGCTGCCTGCAGACCTCCTGCGGCCCCGGGGCTGCAGCTCGGGGACAGGGGCTCCCCCAGGGGCCAGTGAGGAGGAGCCAGGGAGCCCAGGAGGGATGCCACACCAGCCCTGCGGCTTCCTCAGACCCCACCCCAAGCTCTGTCCTCTGGCGCAGAGACCCCAGTGGCAGATGACCCCTCCCCTGTCCCTGCAGCAGGCCAAGTTCGCCTTCTACCGCTGCTCCATGCTGCTCCGGTGGCGGCTGCCGCACACCCTCTTCTGCACGCTGGCCTGGGAGAAGGGTCTCTGTGCCCGCCACTTCCTCTGGTCCTCCCTGGTGAGGGGCTTGGAGGTTGGGGTGCAGGGACCTGAGCTGAGCTGGGAAGGGGGGCAAGGCAGGGTCGCTGTCCCAGCAAACAACAGGATGCCGTCCTCTGGCCAGATGACCCAGAGCCAGGAGGAATTCAGCATCCACTTGTCACAGGCCCTCAGCTACCTGCACAGCCACCATCACCACATCAAGACCTGGGCGGCACTCTTCATCGGTGACTGCACGTGACCGGGCTCGGGGACCCCCAGACCTACCCCTGCTGAGCACCCTGACCCTCACCTGCCCCGGCCACACTGCAGCTGGACCTCAGGGCTCACTAGCAAGGGAGAAAAGGTGGTGGGTGGGGAGCCTTGGGAGGGCAGGAGTAGGTCTGTGCCCCCCCAAAGAAGACAAGGGAGCCCACCGGTGAGTCCCATGCACTGGCCAGTACGCCCTCCTCTGTCCGCCACGCAGGTTATACTGGCTGCTTCCACACCCAGGCCACGTCCCAGACAGTGACCGACTCGGACCTGAAGCTGCTCTTCTGCAGTGAGCAGCCCCCGCCCACCCTGTGACGGGCTCCCACCACCTGAGGCTACGGGGGCGGGCACCCGAGTGTGAGGGGCCCAAGGAGGGTGGGGTTGGAGACCGAAGCCCCCCAGGGCCTAAAAGGCAGAGGAGGTGGGGCCTGGGCCCATCCTGCCGCCCCACCCCCACCCTATCCCCGGGGAGCATGGGACCCTTCCCTCCACCGAGACAGGGCTGCGGGGTCCCCTCTGACTGGTCCCTCCTCTCCCGGAGCTTTCGAAAATCTCAGAAAGGACCTGGAGCCTGGCATCCGGGAATCCGCCACCAGGCTGTCCGGCTTCTTCCAAGAGTTGGCAGCCAGACGGAAGTGATCGCCCGCCTCCTCCCTCGCCCACTCCTCCCTGCCCCCCACTTGGTTAGCCCTGCCCTGTCTGCACAGAGCTTGGTTGCAGAACATTTTTTCATTTGAAAGAAATGTCTAGATTCAACAAAGAAGCATCACACCTCGTCGGCTCCCTGCCCACCTCCCCAGGGCCCCAGAGGACCAAAGCCAGCCCAGGAGACACTGCCGGGACCTGGGATGTGGGGCAGGGCAGGCCAGGTCCCCAGAGACAAACTGTAGAGTCTGTGTGGGGCCCTGCAAAGGACAGCGATTCCGCCCCTGGAGACCAGTGGACTGCACGTTACCCGAGCCCAAGCCACAGCCCACCGGCGTCCTGGGTGCTGAGGTCACCACAGGGCTGTGGGCACGGGCTCGTGGCTGAAGGGGGCCATTCACCGAGGCACCCCAGAGTCTTCGGTTTGTCACCAGCTCAGAGCTCCAGCCAGCGACGAAGGGGCTAACGACGAGGAAGCAGTCCCGTGGCCCGATGTCCTCTGCTGCCCTCGCCTGGGTGGCAGCAGAACCCTCCCCGTGGGCCTGGCCACCTGCATGGGCCATGTGGCCTCCACTGTTCCCTCTGTAATATGGGTAGTAGTACCTTCCTCCCGGGGCCCCTCGGGGGCCCAGTCCCACCTGACCGGCCGGTCCTTCCCTCTCAGCCTTGGTTACCCCACATGCGAAACGAACAGTGTGCCCTTCCCCGGCCTCATCCCGGGCTGTCTCCCTCTGGAGCAGGCCAGCCGGCCGCCCGTCCAACGGTGTCCTCCAGCCCAGCCTGCCCACCTGCCTTCTCCCCTGGGCCCACGCTGTCCCCGACCACGCCTCCCACGGGGAGCACCTCCCCACCCTCACCCAGCTTGGAACCTCCACACCAGTCCATCCTTCAAGGGCCAGCCCACGTGTCCCTGCCCCTGCCCGTGGCCCCATCAGCTCCTCCTCTGGCTGGGCACCCCCTCGCACCAGACAAACTCCTAGCCTGCCCCACCCCACACACTGAGTCCTTCGCGTCAGGGGCGTGACTGCACGGGGCTGGCACAGAGGAGGCCCCACAATTGGATGCCGGGTTAAGAAATACAGTGACCTCCCTGGAATACACACATTACTTGTGTCCTCAGACATGTTCAGGGGACAAAGGGAAAACCATTTGGTAGGGCTGGCTGGCAGCCCCACCCCACCCAGGAGCCCAGGGAGAGCCGGGCCTGGGCCCCTTCCCGCCACCTCCATTTTATCCGTCTGTCCATCTCGGAATGGAGGCCCCGGAAGGGGGGCTTCTCAGTGGCTCCGCCTTCCCACAACTGCCCATCTTGTCCACCGCCCTCAAGTGACCCTACTGATACTCCACTACTCCAGCCCTTGGCTGGGGTACATGCTAGGACCAAGGGGCTGGGGAGCAGGGTCCCCTTAAGGGGTCTAGTCTGGTGGGTGTGGTCCAGGTGGGGACTGCCATCTCCCCTTATTGGTGGCCTCTGGGCAGTGGGTGGGCAGCCCTCCATGCTGCCCTCCAGTCCGTTCTCCCTCCAGAAAGTCAGATTTAGTAAAGTTTGGAGCTGGGTGGGCCTGGCCTTCATGGCTCCTGGAGCCCCTCGGGGAAATTGAGGCTCAGAGAAGCTGAGTGTGGCGGTGGGGAAGAGCCCAGTTCCTGCCCAGCAGGGTGGCCGGGCTCCGCACAGCGGGCACGTGGAACTGACCCAGGCGGGCTGCAGCTGGCCAGGGGATGGAGAGACCAGGCCCGTGTCCTTCTTGGCCACCCACCCAGGGCTCACCCGTCAAGTACTAGCAGAATGGGCCCCAGGGGGGGCACTGCCTCCGTGGTGCCTGAGTTTCTTCCAAGGCCTCGCCATGTGCCTGGGGCGCACCTTTCCTGGGCCCACCTCCTCCCCTGCGAAAAGCAGTGGCCACCAGGGAGCTGAGAAAGCCGCTACCCCAGAACGGGGGTGGGTGCGATGGAGGGAGGGCAGGCCAGGTGGCCCCAAGGGGCAGGCTGGGCAGGTGGACGCAGGCCCCGGGGCTGCAACGTCTATGACAGCCAGCAGGTCCCAGCAACTGGGAGGGGTCAGTAGAGACCTGTGGGGACGTCCTAAGGCGAGTGGCAGTGCTGGGGAGCAGGGGAGCAGGGGTCCCAGGACGGCCTGACACACCAGCCCGGACTCCCTCCCCCCAGCTGTGTGCCTGTCCTCCCGGCACCTGTTCCTCAGCCCAGGCAGGGCCGGCCCCAGGTCTGCGCGAGCCACACACTAGGGCCCTGAGCGTGCCCTCGGACAGGCCCGGCCCTGCACCCACACTCAGACCTGCTCGCCCACAGGGGCCCAGGGTCACCTCCTGCCCCTCTGGGGTCCCACCCCTGCAGTGTGCCTCCACCCTGAGCGGAGTCAGCCTCCATCACCCGCTCCCTTCTGGTCTTCTAAGGCTGAGATGACACCGGGCGGCGCAGGACAGGGCAGTCACCTACTGGACACCAGGCCCCGGCCTCGCCTTCTAACACCCCGGCCCCCAGTACATGGACATGGCCCCTGTGGAGCTCTGGGGCTGTGTGTCAGGGCTGTCTGTGCCTGGTCCCCAAGCTGGGGCGCGCAGGGACCCAGTGTGGACACCAGAGGGCGCCCGGGGCTGCCTGGACAGAGGCCCCCCACCCCCAAGCCGGCCCGGCCCTCTCTGCACACACACAGCCTCAGGGTCCTGTTTTATTGCCTTCGAGTGTCCAGAGCAGCCGACCGCCCGCAGACCCAGGGGTTTAAGGGGCTGAGAGCAGGCTGGGGGGAGGGGCGGCAGAGGACGGGGCGGCCCAGTGGTTAACAAGTCCACCTGCCCCCAGCAAAGGCCACAGGAGGGGGAGCAGGGAGGGTGACGGCAGGAAGGCCAGCGACAGGGTCCTGGACTAAGCCTCAGAAACAGACACACAGACAGAGAGACAGACGCAGGGCATGCGGCAGAAGACAACGGGAAGGAGGGACCGAAAAGGTGGCAGACAGGCGACAGACACAGGGACAGACGGACAGATGGATGGAGAGACAGCCGAGGGCGCTCAGTGGAGCTGGGCGGGGAGGCAGGTGTGCTGAGGTGTTGTCGAGATGGCAGTGCCAAGGCCCTGGGTGGGGCTGGGCGGGCGGCCACCCCCGGCCCGCGGCTCAGGTCCTGAGCTACATGACGCAGCATTTGGTCTTTGTGTGAGGGTCTTTGAACCGCAGTCTCTGTTTGGGCCGGTATTTTTCCAGGTAGGTGAGCTGTTTGCTGTTGATGGCTCCACGCCGCTTCCTGGGGAGAGGGGACAGGGTGGGGATCGGCTGGGACCTGGCTCGCCCGCCTGCCCTGCCCCAGGCAGCTGGAGGCCCAGGAGCCCAGTGGGGCTGGAACAGAGAGCTGTTCCCGTTGCCAGGGCGATGCTTCCCAGTCACCTGCTGTCACCCTGCTGGCCTTCAGCTACCCTGGCTGTCATCTCCTCCAGGCTGACCCCTGATCTCCCCACCTCCACGGTCCCCATCCTCCCAAGACGCCCACATTTATCCAGGTATCAGCCCACCCCAGGCCATGGCTCCTGGAGGACCACCAGGTTGAAGCCTGGACAAACCTGCCCTCTGGGAGTGGGGAGGGGAGGACCCCCCGTGACAGGGTATGGTGGTGCCTAGGGCTGTGCACCGAGCCCTTCTGAAGGTCATCCATCCCCACGCCCTCCAGGACCTCAAACGTGGCCAATGAAGTGTGTGTGGAAGAGACACGCGTGAGCCGGGCGGAGCCGCAGGAGCCACAGTGTGGCTATACCACAGCGTGGCTCGACCACGGCATTCCGTGGCCAGCAGCTGGCAGTGCTGGAGATGGGGCTGTCCCCACTGACAGTGTCAGACAGGTCCCGTGAGCAGGGACACAGCGTGGCTCTCAGTGGCTGGGGTCAGGGCTGCTCGTTACTGCAGCATGGCCCAGCCTGTCCTGACTCCCGGCCTCGGGCTGAGGGACCACAGCCCCAAAGGTGGGGCAGCTAGCCCAGCCTTCACCTCACACTCCCGTCACCACACTCCCAGCCCCCAGAAGGCGGCTGGGGTGAGGCAGGCCACACACAGAGGCCAGTCCTCATTCAGAGTGGGCGGCATGGCCCTGGGCCCGCATGGCCAGGAGGGGGCATGGAACTGGGAGACACCCTAGAGGACACCCCAGAGCCAGGGGTCAGGAGTGCTGCTGGCAGGGCTCAGGGCCTTGCAAGGTGGGACCTTAAACCTGGACCCCTAAGCGGTCACAACCCCCGCCAGCCGCCACTCACTGTCGGATGAACTGGATGGCGTCTTCGTACTTCATCCCGCTCTCGAGGAGGGCCAGTGCTACGAGGACCGGGGCCCTGGGGGCGGACAGCGGACGCGTCACCCAGCGTCTGCTTCCCCTCCCAACAGCCCCGCGGAGCCTCAGCCAGACAGCCGCCCAGACGCCCCCCAGGGCCCTTCTGACCCCAGGAAGGGCATAGGCTCGAAGCTCAGCTTGACCACCAGGGTCCAAATTCCATTCCCTCCTAGCCCTGCTGTGTGACCTTGGGGGGGCCAGGCAGACTCTCTGTGCTGGGCTCAGCCTAAGAGCTTGATACTCAGCTGTCAGCCCTGCTCAGCTGGTCTTCCCTCTGCAAAGCGGGGTTGTTTCGGTCCAACCCAGACTCTTCAATGGGGTCAGAGTCTTTGTGTCTGGGGATCGGGGCGGACCGCTCTTTCCTGCTCAAGGACAGGGACAAAGTTGCAACCACAGCAGGAGGGAGTGAAGTCAGACTTCAGGAAGGACTTCCTCCCTGCAAGGCTGGGAAGTCCACATCTGGGAACCCTCTGGGAACAGGTCATGTGTGATGTGGGCTCAGCACCCCATCCAAGAGTGAGGCCGTAAGTTCCTGACGATCAGTGAGGCCTGCCCTTCCCCCCGCTCACCGTCCCAGGCCGGCCACGCAGTGCACGGCCACGCAGCTGCCAGGGTCATCGCAGAACTTGGCCTTCAGCAGGCTCAGCCAGTCCTCCACCACCTTGCCAGGCGGGGGTGCCCCGTCGTCAAACGGCCAGTCCTGCAGAGGGAAGCAGTCCCTGAGGACCCCTGCCCCAGAGGTGGGTGGACCAACAGGCCCAGGCCAACCTGTCCCGTCTCCAGATACAATAACATCCAGAAGAAACCCATCTGCCTGGCTGCCTCACGTCTAACCCGAATCCTTCCTGCTGCAGTGGAAGGAAGACAAGGCCGCTGACTCCCTATGCTAAGAGGCTCTGCACACGCTTTTATCTTGAGTCCTTCCAAGCACCCACACTCCACAGGTGAGGACCCGGGGTCACAAGGCTGGGAAGGGGCAGAGGCGGGACGCAGGTCAGGTCTCTGTGACTCGGAAGCTCCGGCTCCTTCTCTCCAAACAGCCGAGCAAAGGTCATAAAGTGACAACCGCAGGGACAGGGGTCCTTGCAAGGACAGGAGTAACTGAGGGGTCCTCTGGTGCTGAGAGGCTGGGCCCAAGCAGAGCTGGGGGGCCTGCTGGACGCCCTTTGTGCCTCCAGCCCAAGTCAAGGCAGCCCTGCACCAGGGCGGTGCCATGAGACCTCCCACTGGGACAGGGTGGCACAGCCACACACCCTCTGCACAGACACAGGTCCCCAGGGCCAGGGACCAAGGAAACAGCCCAAGGGTCCCTCCCCTTGGCCTCCACAGACAGCCTCCCCAGGGACCTGCCAGGTGCGCCTGCCCCGCCCCTGCAGCTCCTGCTGCCCAGCAACAGGGCCCCAAACACAGGCAGCAAGTGACTAAGAGGAGACCCCGAGAGGGAGCTGCCGGACCCCCGAGAGGGAGCTGCCGGACCCCAAGAGGCCCCACAGCCGCCAGGTGACCGTGGGCAGCCGCCACGTCTCAGGCATCCGCACAGTGGGGCCTGGTCCCTGCCAGGCAGGACTGTTGGGGTCACAGCCCCAGCTCCTGAAGGAGAAGCCCCCCTGGAGTGGGTGTTATTACCGAAGTGCCACTCCCCAGGTGGTCCCAGTTTTGCCGCAGTCTGGCTGTGGCCTCAGACAGCCACTGACCCCAGCCTCAGTTTCCCCACACCAAGCCACTCGGGGAGGCGTCCCGAGGCTGAGAAGCGCGGTACCTGCCAGCCCTGGCACCGGGGGGCCTGGCGCGTGACGCGGGGCCGCGGCAGAGAGTGTGTTCCCGCCTCCGGGCCAGGCCGGCCGGGACGAGCACACCCACTCAGGTGGAACAAGGCTGTTGGGCGAGGAGGCGACTCACTGGAGGTCACACAGCCCGATGCCTGGGCCACCCTGACATGTGTCCAGACACACACGGTGCCCGGGCACGAACACGCCAGGTGGCAGGCAGCACGGAGGGAGACCAGGGCGCCTGCCCCTCAGCACGGTCCACACAGACAAGGAGCCCTCCCCGGGCAGCAGCAGGGCCACCGGCACCACGCAACCCTCACCACGACAGTGATGCCGTCCTTCTCCAGCAGGGCCTTGTCGTAGGTCACCTCGCACACGCGCACCACGGTGGTGGCCCCGTACTTCTTCAGGTCCTGGGGGGAGTGAGCAGGGAGAAGGCAGGGCTGGGCTGGGCTGCAGGGCTCGGGTGGGCCGGACCAGAGTCCCCGGAGTTGGGCTACAGAGCCCCACTCAACAAGACAAAAAAGGCTGGTACGCCACGTGAGCTCTAGGGGCGCTGTTTGGGCGCCGGGACCTGCGGGGTACAAAAGTCTCTCCTGATGGCCACCCAGCAGAGAGGTTCCCACCACAGTCGGCAACACACCTCCCTCCTCTTGGGTGCTCAGGACCCGTGAAGACCCCACTTCCCGGGCAAATCTCCTGGGTCCCCAAGCAGGCACAGGGCACCACCAGCCTAGGCGTGGCCCTGCGTGGTCCCTGCTCTGGGCAGCCCTCCCTGCCAGGGGCATGGACGGTCCAGTCCAGGGGCACTCGGACCCCACACTGGAGCTACCGGTCTGGGAAGGGCCAGCCTCCCGGGGCGGAGCCGTCGGAGCGGGAAGAGCAGACGTGCTGAGCAAGGGCAGGAGAGCTGGGCCCTGCACACCAACGGGGAGCCCCGGGCAGAGGTCACGGCAGTTCACAGCCAGGCCCCGGGATATTTATACCCCGGGGGGGTCCCCTCAGCAGCCACACGCAGGGGTTGCTCCCACCACACCTGCTCCCAGCAGCTATTTTGGGGATGATGAGGGATCAGCTGCTGGGCCCTGCTTGTCCTGCGGCAGGGACACCGGGCAGTGTGGGCGGGACAGCGCCCCTCAGAGAGCTGGGGAGCAGGAGCCGGTGGAGGGCTCTGAGGCTGTGCCTGGCACAGAGGGTGCTGCCGAACCCAGGTCAAAGCCTGACCCCCGGCATGCACATTGCCCCAATCCTGGTCACACATGAGCCCTGACCCCGGTCTCACGCAGAGCCCTGACCCCGGTCACACGCTGAGCCCTGACCCCGGTCACACGCTGAGCCCTGACCCCGGTCACACTCTGAGCCCTGACCCTGGTCACACGCTGAGCCCTGACCCCGGTCACACTCTGACCCTGGTCACACGCAGAGCCCTGACCCCGGTCACACTCTGAGCCCTGACCCTGGTCACACTCTGAGCCCTGACCCTGGTCACACGCTGAGCCCTGACCCCGGTCACACTCTGACCCTGGTCACACGCAGAGCCCTGACCCCGGTCACACTCTGACCCCGATCACACGCTGAGCCCTGACCCCGGTCACACGCTGAGCCCTGACCCCGGTCACACGCTGAGCCCTGACCCCGGGCACACGCTGAGCCCTGACCCCGGGCACACGCTGAGCCCTGACCCCGGGCACACGCTGAGCCCTGACCCCGGGCACACGCTGAGCCCTGACCCCGGGCACACGCTGAGCCCTGACCCCGGTCACACGCTGAGCCCTGACCCCGGTCACACGCTGAGCCCTGACCCCGGTCACACGCTGAGCCCTGACCCCGGTCACACGCTGAGCCCTGACCCCGGTCACACGCTGAGCCCTGACCCCGGTCACACGCTGAGCCCTGACCCCGGTCACACTCTGAGCCTGGTCACACGCTGAGCCCTGACCCCGGTCACACTCTGAGCCCTGACCCCGGTCACACTCTGAGCCCTGACCCCGGTCACACTCTGAGCCCTGACCCCGGTCACACGCTGAGCCCTGACCCCGATCACACGCTGAGCCCTGACCCCGGTCACACTCTGAGCCTGGTCACACGCTGAGCCCTGACCCCGGTCACACGCTGAGCCCTGACCCCGGTCACACGCTGAGCCCTGACCCCGGTCACACGCTGAGCCCTGACCCCGGTCACACGCTGAGCCCTGACCCCGGTCACACGCTGAGCCCTGACCCCGGTCACACTCTCAGCCCTGACCCCGGTCACACTCTCAGCCCTGACCCCGGTCACACTCTCAGCCCTGACCCCGGTCACACGCTGAGCCCTGACCCCGGTCACACGCTGAGCCCTGACCCCGGTCACACGCTGAGCCCTGACCCCGGTCACACGCTGAGCCCTGACCCCGGTCACACGCTGAGCCCTGACCCCGGTCACACGCTGAGCCCTGACCCCGGTCACACGCTGAGCCCTGACCCCGGTCACACTCTCAGCCCTGACCCCGGTCACACTCTCAGCCCTGACCCCGGTCACACGCTGAGCCCTGACCCCGGTCACACGCTGAGCCCTGACCCCGGTCACACGCTGAGCCCTGACCCCGGTCACACGCTGAGCCCTGAACCCGTCACACTCTGAGCCCTGACCCCGGTCACACGCAGAGCCCTGACCCCGGTCACACGCAGAGCCCTGACCCCGGTCACACGCAGAGCCCTGACCCCGGTCACACGCTGAGCCCTGACCCCGGTCACACGCTGAGCCCTGACCCCGGTCACAGGCTGAGCCCTGACCCCGGTCACACGCAGAGCCCTGACCCCGGTCACAGGCTGAGCCCTGACCCCGGTCACAGGCTGAGCCCTGACCCCGGTCACACGCTGAGCCCTGACCCCGGTCACACGCTGAGCCCTGACCCCGGTCACACGCTGAGCCCTGACCCCGGTCACACGCTGAGCCTGACCCCGGTCACACGCTGAGCCCTGACCCCGGTCACACGCTGAGCCCTGACCCCGGTCACACGCAGAGCCCTGACCCCGGTCACACGCAGAGCCCTGACCCCGGTCACACGCAGAGCCCTGACCCCGATCACCCTCTGAGCCCTGACCCCGTCACCCTCTGAGCCCTGACCCCGGTCACACGCAGAGCCCTGACCCCGGTCACACGCAGAGCCCTGACCCCGGTCACCCTCTGAGCCCTGACCCCGGTCACCCTCTGAGCCCTGACCCCGATCACACGCAGAGCCCTGACCCCGGTCACCCTCTGAGCCCTGACCCCGGTCACCCTCTGAGCCCTGACCCCGATCACACGCAGAGCCCTGACCCCGATCACACGCAGAGCCCTGACCCCGGTCACACGCAGAGCCCTGACCCCGGTCACCCTCTGAGCCCTGACCCCGGTCACACGCTGAGCCCTGACCCCGGTCACACGCTGAGCCCTGACCCCGGTCACACGCTGAGCCCTGACCCCGGTCACACGCTGAGCCCTGACCCCGGACACACTCTGAGCCCTGACCCCGGTCACACGCAGAGCCCTGACCCCGGTCACACGCAGAGCCCTGACCCCGGTCACCCTCTGAGCCCTGACCCCGGTCACCCTCTGAGCCCTGACCCCGGTCACACGCTGAGCCCTGACCCCGGTCACACGCAGAGCCCTGACCCCGGTCACACTCTGAGCCCTGACCCCGGTCACACTCTGAGCCCTGACCCCGGTCACCCTCTGAGCCCTGACCCCGGTCACACGCTGAGCCCTGACCCCGGTCACACGCTGAGCCCTGACCCCGGTCACACGCTGAGCCCTGACCCCGGTCACACTCTGAGCCCTGACCCCGGTCACACGCTGAGCCCTGACCCCGACCACAGGCTAGTGCTGTGCTGTCTCTCCTCAGGCCCTGCTATTATCTCAAGGGTCTCAGCTGTGAGGGGCGAGCCCTCCGAAAGGCCCGGGGCTCATGTCTAGGGTCCAGGCCCTCTGATGGCAGGGTGCCCATGGCCCCCCTTCAAGTTTTCTCCGTCCTCTCCGGCCCAGGGCCCCCGTGTACTGATGACGAGCACTCCTGCCGCAGAGGGAAGAGGCCACACACAGCCCCCGGCTCTGCAAACAGCAAGGAGGTCACCCCTGACCCCCCGACTCCTCCCGGAGGCGGTGAGAACAGGTGCAGGCTCAACAGACACATCTGGTCACATCTGCTGGGCGAGGAGCAACAGCCACCTGCCTGCCGACTCCTTGGGACACAGCAGTCACACCCCCCGCTGGCCAGCCCTCCTCACAGACATCAGCACCCCGAAGCCCCCAGCCCAGCCCCCAGCCTCCCTGCCTAAGTGGCCTGGAGCTGGCCATGGTGCTGGCCTCCATGCCCACACGCCCACCCGCCTGTCTGGAGGCTGTTTCAGCAGCGGCTCCTGACCTGGGGCCCCTCCCTCCTCCTTCTGGCTCAGCCTCTGCAGAGGCCAAACAGCCAGCAAATGGGCGGCTCCTCCTACCTCTGAGCCCACCTGTTCGCAGCCCGGGGTCCACCTGCCCACACGCCGCCCCCAGGGAGGCAGCTGAGCCCCTGCAGCCCTCGTACCCAGCTCCCCAGGACACTCATGTACCCCCTGGGGGATGCTGTAACCAGGGCAACAGCTTTGCCCCTCCTGGGCTGACAGCTACAAATGGCTCCCAGGAGGCTGTGGGCAGCGCCCAGCCTGGCCACTCACCTCGATGAAGGTGCTGAGGGTGGCGTTGGTGGGGTTGTGCGTGATGAGGAAGCGCATGTTCTTGTAGCTCACCTCCACGGGGGCCGGCCGGTTCATGCGGGCCATGGCTCCTCCCCGAGACGGGCTGGGGACACAGCCCCCCAACCCGGAGAACAGGATCCCTGTGCTTGTCCCAGAGAGAGGAAATGCTGTTTAAAAAACCTGCCCCCACACCCCGCACAAATATTGTGCAAATACTTGGGAGGGGGAGGACGCTGCCCGGTGTGTGGATAGTTCAAAGGAAATTCAACTCTTTAATAAAGAAAAAGAAGAAACGGCACTCCGCGGAAGTAGAATGGGCCCGGCCGAGCTCCTGCCTCTTAGAGACAAATAATTATAAAATGACAAAAAAAAAAAATAACAACCAAAAAACTCAGCAAAGAAAACTTTAAAAAGCCCAAAGTTAATCCATGTCCAGCGCTGTGCCTGCTGCTGGGAATTCCTCTCTGCATCGGTGGACAGGTGATGATCCCCTCCACTCAAAGGCGGGCCCCAAGCCCAAGGACCAAAGGAAAAACAAACTTGAACGGAACCAACAGGGCCTCCTTGGGGTGGGGTCCCAGGCAGCGGCGGTGGGCAGGCAGCGGCTCTGAGGCACGGGCCTGTCACGTTACCCCATCAGGGCACGGCGAGTCCTGGCAGGGAGCAGGGGGCTCAGGTGGCCCTGGGCCGGGCGGAGGCCATCGGCGGGCGAGGGCAATGGTGAGGGCCAGAGGCACAGGGGCCCTCAGCAGCAGGTGCGGCGATGCTGGGCACGGCAGTACTCAGAGCGCCCCCGCGAGGACCTCTCCATGAATCCCAGGCCGCTCAGCAGCAGGCGACGTCTGCAGACGGAGGGGAAAGAACGGGGGTCACCAGGAGCCCCTGCCCTGGACAGGGGTGTCCGCCTGCTCGACCCCCAGTCGGTGATGCTCCTCCCAGGGCCCTGCTGCAGGAGCCTGCTGAGGGAGTGTCCCTCCTAGGGCCTCAGTTTCCCCAGTGGGACAGCCCCTGTCATGGCTGACCCAGGGCCCGGAGGTGACAGGGCAGCCACCAGGACAGAGTGCAGAGGGACAGAGGGAGGGGGCATTCCAGGGCCACACCCACACCTGAACACCAACACACAGATGCCCAGGTGGTAAGAGGCCTGGACCCTGAGCTGGGCCCCCACCTGTGATCAGCAGACACCCCACCCACACTGGGACAGCGCCCTGTCCGCCGTGGAATTTCTGAGCCGATGGTTCTGGGCAGCCGGTCATCAGGAAAAGGTGCTCAGGCATGGAGGCCAAGGGGCTGGGACCCACTGGGTGAGTGGAAGGAGGCCCCACTCACAGCCATGAACCACCTTAAATGTCTCTGTCCCCCTTGTGCCCCCCCATTCGTCCACAGGGCTGGCCAGGCACAGGGTAAACAAGCCGGGCTCTGCCCTCAGGGAGCTCAGAGAGCCAGGACGGACCACAACAGCCAAAGGCCTCCATCCAGGCACACGCCGAGGTGATGACAGCGCAGACGGCCAGGAGTGGGTCACTCTGTGACAGGGCCCCAGAGACAGCCAGCAAGCACCTCCACACCTGCCCCTCTCTGGGCCCCAAAGGTTCCAGACCCCAGGCCCCAGCAGTAGCACCAGCCCCACTCACACCCCCACGGACAGGCTGAGTGAGGGCCTTGGGCATGTCTCTGGCCTCAGTTTCCCCATCTGCACAAAGAGAGGCCAAACAAGATGCCCGCAAGGTTTCTCCAGCTGTGACCAATAGACTCCAGCCACTGGCTCAGCCCAAGCCCACCAGCGGGCACTCTTAACCACTCACTCGGCAGGGTTCTCCATGCCCCAACCCACCGTACCTCACCTCTGCCCCCGCCCCTGCACCCCCTTCTCCAGCCGCCCTGCCAAGTAGGCTGGCCCTGGAGCCTCAGCCTGGGAGCTGGAAGGGCCCCAGGCCTGAGGCCCTGAACGCTGTAGGCCAACTCCACTGCCGCTCCTGGGCTCAGGGCAGATGCCGCATCTCACAACCTGCCCCTTGCCGTGGGCCCCGGAGGGTTGAACGGGGGTGTGGCACCCTGGGAGGAGAAGAGGGCAGAGGGAAGGAATCCCATCGTGGCTCAGCCATCCCAGCGCCAGAAAGAGACAGCTACGGACACCCTGAACCCCAGCACACCAACACCTGCACCTCCTGGGGCAGCAGAATGTGCCCGTGTGCATGTGTGTGCATGTGTGTGTGTGTGTGTGTGTGTGTTTACCAGATTGAGAGGAAAAAAACCGCCCAAGGAAGCCACAGGACTCCAGGCCTTTCTCTGAGCGGCTGACCGCCACCTCACTGCCCACAGCTGCTAGGCACCTGGGGAGACCCTGTGGGCAACAGCAGATGGCCTGGGTCTGCTGCCCAGTATCCCGGGGAAAGGCCTCAGGGCCAAGGACCGCGGGAAGCTGTCACCAGTCAGTGGAGTCAGGAGCTAGCCCGGCTAAGATCAGGGGTCTGGGTAGAGGCTGGACAAGGCCACTGTCGAGGCTGGGCTCTTGCCATTCACCCCACCTGTCTGTGCAGGATCTGGCGTTCCCAGCCCCAGGCGGGAGCAAACGGTTATGCCCACATAGCTCAACCAGGCCTGTGGCCACCCCCAGGGAGGGCCCTCCCTCCTAACCACACCTCCTCAGTGAGGTCACTGAGGGGGATTCCAGGCAGGGCAGACCCAAGTCCACCAGCCCCAGCCCCATGCCCACCCCCCAGTCCACAGGGGCCAGAAGCCCACCCCTCTAGCTTCCTGCCCCTGCCTGCATCCCCCTCCCAAGACCCCAGCCGCTTCCTTCCGCTGTCTGCCAAGTCCAGAACTGTTTTTTGGAGACGTGCTGGGGAAGGCTCCGTCAACATCCCTGCCTGCAGAGTGAGCAGACCAGGGAGAGACAGGACCTTCTCTGAGTCCTGACCAGACCAGCAAAGTCTTCCCCAGGGGTTTTCTCAAGCTCAAGTCCAGGAGACCAGAGCAGCGAGCAACCCAGTCTACGGAAGTGGAAACAGGTTCAGGGTGCCCTCGTCCCTGGTCACAGCTGGCCGAGGAGCCCGCAAGAGTTTGAATCCAGAGGATTTCAGAGAGGCCAGCGCCCTGGACCCAGAACGGGCATGATGGGGGGAGGCTGAAGGACTAGGGCACAGTGGGGTCTCAGGATAAATAAGGAAGAACCCGAGAGCACCTTGGGCAGGGCTGGGCCCGAGTGGGCTTGGGGGGGGCCTGCCCTGTCCCGCGTGCGTGCGCCCTGGGCGGGGCGCGTGGAGGCTGGTTCCGAGGGGTGCGGCCACCTCCCCGGGGCGGGGCTGGGGTCCTCCCGGCACGCCCCCCGCCCGGCCCTGCGCGCCCCGCTCACCCGAGCGCGCAGGCGTCCCGCCGCTGCCTCCATCCGCACGGGGCCAGACCGGGCCGGGGCCAGGAGATCCAGGGTGCAGGGCGCTGGCTCCCCGCAGACGCTCCGCCGGCCCGGCGGCCGGGGGCTATTTATAGCGCCCGGGCATCACGTGGGCGGGGTGGCCGGTGACCGGCTGGCCGCGACCTGGCTTGTTGTGGCTCCCACACCTGCCGCCTAAATATAACCGTGGGCCCGCCGCGCCCGGCAAACAAAGGGGCGGCGGAGGGCCGAGCGCAGAGGAAGCGCCGCGGAGGAAGGGGAAATGCAAGGGCAGAGGGGAGGGCCGCTGACCGCCGCGGGGCGGGGCCCCTGCCGGCCGACGCGCTGCCTGCCTCCGCCGTGCGCGCGGTCCTGGGACCCTCCCGGGCTCCCCGCGGCCCGCTCGCGCAGAGAGGGGCCCCGCCGCGGGGCGCTGCACGGGGCGGGGCTCCAGGCGCGGGGCGTGCTCCCGGCGGGCACCTCAGCGCGGGCCGCGGCCCGGACCCACAGCTCCCAGCTGCGAAAATGCGAAAGAGGTGCCCAGGGCCCAGGTGGGTTAACAAGGCTGACACTCCCCTGAGGAGGGCCACCCGCCCCGCCTGGTCCTGAAGTCTGCCTGCTGACTCCTGCTTGGACTCAGGCCGCAGCTGAGGACCCCTCCACTGCCTGAGCACCTCCTGTGTGCCAGACACCTCTTCCCCTGGCTGTGCCCGCGGGCACGGGGGTGGGGGGCGGTCGTCCCCATCCTGCCCCAGTGTGCACCTGAGGAATCAGGCGCTGGGACTCGGCCCACACTGGTTCCACAGGAAGGCGGGCTCCACCGGCTCATCCTCTACAGCTCGGGAGATGCCCCCTCCTGGGGAGGCCCTCTGTGATGTTCCCAGACACGACCCGCCCAGGGTCCAAGCTTAGCTTCCAGGGAGCACCATGTCCAGACACCAGTGTCCTGGACTGTGAGCCCCGAGAGTGGACTGACATCAGGATGGTCAATGCCCTACCTGCCCTTCCAGCCCAGAGGCCCTCAGAAAGGGGGGAGGGCTGGGTGGGAAGACCCCCTGCACACGGGGTCCCCGGAGGCCTAGCTTTCCTGGGAACCCTGCTCTGCTCTGAGCCCAGCTCCCCGGCCGCCAGCACCACGGGGCAGCAGGGGAGCGGGCAGGGGCCAGCTGAGAACACGGCTGTCCTGTACTCTCCATACACACATCCAGAGAGCACCAGCCACGTCTGTGCCCCTGATCACAGATGGGTACTGTACAGGTGGAAGGCTCCTCGGGAACCCCACCCACAGACATGCCCCTAGCCAGCAGGTGGTCTGCCACCAGCTCAAGGAGCCGATGGCACAGCTCCAGACCAGGGCTTCTGCCCTGCGCCCCCACCCAGCACAAGGTGGCCTTGGCTGGCACTCCTAGTTCAGGGCTCCTGGCTCCTGGCATCATCTCCCTGACACGTAGATCTGGGCACTCAGGTCCCACCAGTCGCCCACCTTGACTGCCCACCGAGGATCTGCCCCTCAGACACTGCCAGACCACATCCACGAACAGGACTGCTGGCCACGTGGTGTGGCTGACAGCAGCTCCGAGAGCGTGCGGGACCGGCCGGCACACAGCCAGCCAGGAAGCGGGAGAGCCCCAGTCGGCTGAGTTTGGCTCCTCCTGGCCCTGGCCCTCTGGGAGACAGGACCTCTGGGCGAGTGGCTTCCCCCACCCAGCCTGTTCCTCATCCACCCAGGTGACGGCTCCCACCAGCTCAGGGATCCACACCCGGGACACAGCCCACCTTGCCGCTCGGACTGCGGACCTGGGCCCCAGCAGCCCTGTCCCCCTTGCCTGAGGCACCCACTCTGGTCAGGCCGGGGGGCACCTGCTGCCCCTGGCACGGCCCCAAGCCTTTCGGAGAAGTCTATTTTTATCGGGCAGGAGCCGTTCCTGGAATTCTCCCAGAACAAGCCCAAGTCCACATGCTGCTAGGGGGCCTGGAGGGGAGACCCGAGCCACCAAGCCCTCGCCCACCCACCCCCCGGAAACCTTCCCAGAGTCTTTCCACCCCTGCACCCAGCACCACCGGTCCGGCCGGCCTCACCGGCCAGCCACTGCTGCCTCCTCTCCCCCACGCCTGTCCTAACCCCTCTCCCTTCAGCCACACGCCCTTCAGAGTGGAGAGTGGCCCAGCCCCGGGGAAGGCGTGTCCCAAAGGCGGACATTAAGGTTGTCAACTCCACCCTGCCTCCTGCCTGGCACCAGGAGGGGCCCCCACTTGTTTGTGGACAAATGACCCAACGTTCTGGGCGGAGGTCCAGATCTGGGAAATGTCCAGAACCCATCACGGGATCTCAGCCCCTGAGGTCCAGAGGAACCTCAGAGGTCACCTCCACCATCTAGTCCCCAGCTCGCACGCCCCGGCCCTCCCTGCTCACTCCTTGGCAGCGCCTTTTGCGTTTGGGCAGCTCCCCAAGTGATCGGTCCCTCCCACTGGTGCCCCTGAGTGCTCACTGCTGGGACAGGGACCAGCAGGAGGAAAGCTCCCAAGCAGAATAAACCAGCACAGCAGGCAGACACTGCAGAAGGCAGAGCTGGAGGCTTGGGTAGTCAGGAAAGGCTTCCCGGAGGAGGTGACCGGCAGGGGAGACAGGCATGCTCCTCGCCCAGAACCACAACATCAGGGCTCGACCAACTGCTCCGACTCTGTGCGATGCAGGGCCGGCGCTTGCCCTCCCTGGGGCCTGCGGCCTCCTCTGTAAATGGAGACGTGGCCAGGAGGAAAGCCACTTCCCGAGGCGGCGGCGGCTCCCAGCTGGTCAGGCGCCCCGCTGGGCCCCGGAAGCAGGGCTTGAAGCACGCCTCAGCTTCCCCGGGCCAGGCACCTGTTCTCCCACCACGGTCTCGAGGTGGAGAAGACGCTCCCTGGAGCTCAGCTGCTGGCCACAAGCGCTGCATGAGGTCACCCTCGCCACACACACGGCGTTCACGGTGCCTGTGGGCGTGGCGCTGACCTGCCCACCCATGCGGCCTGCCACTGAGGCCGCCCTCACGCGCTGTCCGCCACCAGCACCGCCTGGGCAGGCCACAGCGCCACCACAGGCCGGGCAGCTGATTCTGCCACCTTCACAGGCAGGCGGACGGCAAGGGCAGGGCACTGCGGCTCTGGCCTCGCTACGCCAACCCTCGGGGGTGTCAAACCCAGGGTAACAACAGATGACCGCCTAAGCTGCCAGCCCCTCGCAGGGAGTCGGAGAGCGGCCGTCACCCACTTTTTGAGAGCCCACTTTTTGAAGAGCTGAAGATCGCTGGGGTCAAACAGATTAGAAGCCCCTTCTTTATTGGGGGGCGTCTGTGTCCCTGACGCTCCCTCGACTCGCTGTGTACAAGGGGGCTTAACGTGGGCACAGATGCCGTAGGGACCAAAGGTTCACAATGGGGCTGGAGAGAGCGTGGTCCAGTCCATCCCGACGAGTGGCCACACCAGACGTGGGTCACGTGTGTGGCAGCCCGTATGCCCCCAGCACCTCCCAGGGCAATGCCGACAGGGTGACCTGAGCCACCCGTGCACACCGGCTGTCCTGAGCGACTGTTCACAACCCCTCTTCTCACTCCCCAACGTGATAAATGTGCTCAGCGCTGGGTTAGGACCCTCGTTAGCAAACAGGACACCGGCGCAGAGGGCTCCGTGACCAGCAAGGGCCAGTACTCCAGGCTGGGCCCTACTGCACTGTGACCCCGCTCTGCCCACAGCCTCTTCCTGTCCCCGCTGGGAGGCTGGGGCCACATGACAATGTCCGAGTCTGGAGAGAGGGCACACCCCACGTGGCCCAGCCTGGGCTCTGCGAGGAAAGGCTCCAGCGCCAGGGGGACCCTTCGCCCCATTCGACTGAGGAGCCCACCGAGGCCCCCAGCTCAGCCAGCAGCGTAGCAGGAAGGCCTGGGGCCGGCCCTGCTGCGCCCCTGAGGTCCCTCCAGGGATGGCAACTCCAGGCCTCCAGCCCCCCACCCCGGGGCCCGCCGTGCCCACCGGGAGCTCTCGAACACTCACCCAAGCCCCACGTCCTGGAGTCCCTCAGTGGCCGCGCCCCCAGCCTGGCTTTATCCCTGCCCAACTGCCCGCCCTCCGCGTCAAAGGCCCCAGACCCCCGCCCGCCCTGAGTCTCGGCAGGGAGGCTGGGGCGCTGGCAGGGGCAGCCCTGGGAGGTTCCTGCCGCCCAGCCTTCGGCTCCCGCCTCCAAGGGCAGCCAACAGCTGGACAGGGGGGCTGGGACGCGGGTCTGAGGTCGCAGGGGGCACCCTGGTCCCAGGAGGAGGGAAGGAGAGCCCCTCCTCCGCTGTGTCGGTGCTGGGGCCCACGGGGGCAGGGCGGTCCCCAGGGCCCTGTAACTGCAGGCAGCTAGAGCTGGAGGGGTAGGAGGGGGCAAGAGGTGCAGGCACAGAGCCAGAGGGGAGGGGAGTCCAGGCACCAAGGCCCAGACCTGGCAGCTGGCACGGGTGGTGGGTTGGCAGGGGGCAGCCTGGGAGCTCCCAGGCCTCTGGCCTGTCTCCCCTGCCTGCTGTGGGCTGGGAAGAGGGTCCTAGGGTCCTCTCCTTGCTGGGCAGGCTCACTACGCTCCACCACCCCCTCCTGCCCACACAGAAATAGCCTGCCATCAACCTAAGCACCCCTCCCGTCCCCAGCCTGCTGGGGGGCCGAAGGGTCCCTCCTATCCAGGTAGCAGCCCAGGTTTTCCCAAGTGCCGAGCTCAGAGGCGCAGTCGTCCTGCCGCGGCCATTTCCGCCCTGGGCAGGAGGGGTCAGCCAGTGGGCAGCTCGGCCCAGCCCACCCAGGCCTGGCTCCTGCACTGAGGAAGTGGGAACCCCCCCTTGGTGGGGGAGGTGCTGCCCCTCCCCCACCAGGATATCGCCTCGTCCGGGTGACATCAGGAAGGGTGGAGCCCCTCCCCCACTCTGGACGGGGTGTGGGAGGATCTCAGGCCAGTCCAGCTCCTTATAGTGAAATTCTTGGGCACAGAGGGAGGCCACCAAGAAGCCCATGCTGTTCCAGCCCCCCAGGGGAGCAATGGGG